CTGTGAGTATATATATATATATAATAATGGATACCTTCTCTTCATATATGGCGATGTCTGCAAGGCTATGGTTATGGTTAATTTTGCATCCTTGAAAAAAAAGATGAAAAAAAATACACAGATTCAGCAGATTTCCATAGTTTACATTAGTTAGCACCCTTATATACAGATAGCATACAAAATGCAAGAAAAAGAAAGAAAATAAAAGGGAAAAACATTTTTAAAGAAGTAATAAAAAAATGTAAAGAAGTTATTCTAAGAAAAAATTTAAAATTCAGATAACAAAATTGCAGAAATATATCTCATCGTCAGCTCACACGATTATATCCGCAAATATATATATAGGCCATTGATATTACGGAATAGCCTGTATAAGCTGTGATTAGATATTAAAATTATTATTTCCTCGTAATTCTATTACTTTAAGAGTTGATTACGCTAAAAGTATGCTAACTACTTTAGTAGTTAGTAGTATACTTTTATGCTACTAGTAAATATATATACAACTAGTATATATGCTAGTCGAATAGTATATATGCTACTACTAGTAGTCACATGCTACTAGTTAGTATTTGTTACTATGCAGTAGCTACTTCTAAAAGTGCGCTAAGAACTAGTTTTTACTAGTTCCATGAAGTTTCCACTCGAAGTCGTACCCAACCCTTTAAATGAGAATGTGTTTCATTTGAAATTTAAGAACGGAGAAGAATTAGGATTGTGTAAAGATACCAGAAGAAAGAAAAATGCTGATATTTCTTCACTTTAATTTATGAAACGAGTACATTTCTCTTAACTTTAAAATATATTTGAAACAACAGTTAAATGCAGACAAGAAATCAATCAGATGTAAAACAGAAAAATAAACGCGCTTCTTTTATGGAAAAAATGAATTTATTAATAATGTTTATTATTTCTTTGATAATCAATGAAAGTGTTTTACACTTAGCGAGATTAAAAACTGTGATTTATCCAATTTTATCTTACTTTTATCCGATAACTTTATTTCAATTGCTTTAAGTGTAATAGTTCGTTAATTTCTTTAAATTGAAAAAAAATACAAATTAAAAACAAAAATTATGTTTTATCAAAATTTATTACCACTTCAATTTAAATTACAATATTGTTTTAATTACAGCTTAAACTACTCTACAAATTAATCAGCTAAATACAGTTAGATACAGTGTGTTTTGTTTTAATTGCTCTTCATGTAAATTTTTAGATTTCATGCTAAAAATGAAACAAACTGAAAATGCAAGGGTTGCAAGTAAATAATAAAAAATCAGTCGCAATCAATATTAAATGATTGAAAAATCCGTCGCAAATCAGTATTAAAATAGGAACGATTTATCATACACTAAGCAATCTCATTTTCAGTTTGAAATAAAAGATAAGGCTTTAAAGTAATCTAAAACCAGTTATACTAACAAATGGTACTTAAATCCCGTTTATCTGAAAATGGTACTTAAATCCAATTTTCTGCAAATTGCGGATGCATTCCAGTTCTACTAAACCAACCAACTTGTATTTGATCATTTTACTCTCTAATTTACTGTTTTTGATCCAAAAAATGATTAGACAGAACTTTAAAACATTGTTTTGATGTTTTCTCACATGAACATTAATTTACAAATCCTGATTTCCTTAATTTTTTTTAGTTCACTTCGGCATGAATTTTAAAAGTACACAATAAAGGTATACCTTACGAAACATCTTTATACTATGCTTGTATTTCTACTTACCCTTAATTAGAGTTGATTATTTATTTTTCCTTTCAGTTCTAGCGGATAATGCAAAATGCATTGCAGATACTATAGATCATTTAAAGAAAAATGGGTTCTGCTTGAATCATATTGATGCCCTTGAACAAAAACCAGAATTTCGAAGCAAAATAGAAGATTTACACGCAGGATACGAAGGAGAATCAAGGATGCAGTTGGGAAATTGCGTGTAAGTTTAAATATTTCTTTTTTGACACAAACCGGGTCATATAATTAAAAGAATAAAGCTCAATGCTTTATTCTTAACGCATAAAGCATTAATCATAAAGCATTAAGTAAATAGCATTAAGCATAAAGAATTAGGCAAAAAGCATCAAGCATAAAGCTTTAAACATTAAGCATTAAGAATAAAGCATTAATCATGCAAGATTAAGCATACAACATTAAGCGTAAAGCATTAAGCGTAAAGCATTAAGCATAAAGCATTAAGCATAAAGCATTAAGCATTAAGCATAAAGCATTAAGCATAAAGCATTAAGCATAAAGCATTAAGCACAAAGCATTAACCAAAGTATAAAGCATTAAGCATACAAGATTAAGCATATAGCATTAAGAATAAACCATTAAGAATAAGGCATTAAGCATAAAGCATTAAGCATAGAGCATTTAATCAGCATAAAAAGCATTTAAGCAAAGCAATAAATAAACAAATAGTGAATGGGCATATTAGTAAATGTTAAATCATTGAAAGCCTGAATCAGTTTGTGAATAGAGAAAATGTATTATGCTTGAAACCATGGTACGAGAGTAACTTACCACATTTTATTATTATTATTATTAGTCATAAAGGGAACATGTGATATTTGACCCAGTTTGTAAGTGCTTAAAAAGCTCTTAAGGAAAATTAATATGCTTTTACTAATGAAATTAAATTATTAATGAACAATAAAACTCAAAAGCTAACAAATATTGTCAACTTGGAAATTTTATTGTAATAAATATAACACAAAAAAATACAATCTTGATTAAAAGCGGGCCAAACCTCCCATAATTCGTTTTTACGCATTATTTAGTTTAATTTAATCTTTTCATCTCTAAGTGTAATATATTTAACTTATATACTTCACAGGAGCAGTGTATTTCAAGTTGGGTGTTTAGGCATATCGCTAAAAAATAACTGTGGAAGAATGGCCCAGAACCTGATGTTGTGGGCTGTAGAGAAAAGTGGAATTCTGAAAGTTGACTGCAAAGAAGAATATGAAACAACTGTAAAAAAATTTGTGGATATTATGGAATTGGATATGCGAAAATGAGTGGTCCAAAAGGAATCAACTAAAATATTATTATCTATTGTTTTTTTGTTTTATTTTTAAACTGCATTAAAAATACATACTTCTCAAAATTATGGAAGAAATTATGGTAGCAAGAGATAGTTTGGAATTTTATTAAAACTATTTTTATGTGTACTATATATTCCCTACTTATGATAACCGTATTTCTATTTTAAAAATTGAAATTTTTTCATAGAATTTTAAAACTTTCAATTAGCTGAAACAGTTAATTGATGGGGAAAATTATAAGCGTTATGGTCGTTTTGACCATTCACTGGTAATATTTAAGAAAATTGAATTACATTTTCGGAAATATTTCAGAATAACATTGAAAAATACTTTAAAATATTTAAAATTTATTTCAGATATTTAAAGTACTTACTTAATCTATTTATTTTGAAAGTAATGGCACTGCTTCGTTCGTAGCACTTGGATACGCAAAAACACACTAAACTCTGTTGCAAGTTTAAAAAAAAACCATTATTCCAAGGGAGAGAGCCTGTTTGCATTAAATGCACGCCAAACGGATGACAAGCTCCCAGCGTAAACAAATACCAACAGCGCTAACACTTGAAACTATGTTGCACAGCTTTTTTTTTTGTTTGCTTCTTTACCATCAACAATAATCAATTAACAAGCAATAAGAATTGATAAAAATTATACCTAAAAATTGTAATAAATATACTTCTTTCCAGAAGTCTACGAAACTGTAAACTTTTTTTTAATAATTCTATGTTATATGTCATAAATATAACACGAATTAAATTTATGCCTGACATGTTTAAGCTTTGAAAGCTTTTATATTGCCTTGAAAAAAAAAACAATTTATAATTTTATTACGAAATAAAACGAAACACTAAGCAATCGCAAATGGTTACTATCTATGATTACTATTACGCGAATGATCCTATACTGCAATGATCTTTTCTAAACTTGAAAAGGAGTATAGATTATTTTTTTCCAAAACACTTGCACACAGTAGAATAAAGCTTATATAATGTTGCCATTTGTTAAAGATGTTAACAAATTTTCACCCGTTTGAAACTGCTGTCTTTTTTTAAACATCTGGAAACTTGATGTTGAATTGGCTCTTTGATTTTTAAAAATAAATTTTATCGTACCAAAAGACGTTTGCATGATTTATGTTAATTACCGGTACTAGATGTGATTAAATCTCCAAGACGGATAATATATTTACTCTCAATAACTTATAACGAGTTTATTATTAGAGCTTAAAGTCTAGATTTGTGATACCATCCCCTTCGCATTGGAAAACAAGCAATTCATAAAGTTTGGTAGAAATTTAGTAGAAAGAGTAATTTTGAATACACTATATTATTTTTTTTAACAATGAGTTACAGACAACTGCAAAAACAAAGTATTTTATTATTATTTTTATTCATTTCTAGAAGAATAAGTTTTTCAATGTAAAAAAGTTTTTTTTTCTTTTTGTTAAACGCTTCCTGATGTTTCTATATTTATGAGTTATTTTAAACTCCTGAAAAAAGCCAATTAGCCCTTTCTTTAAGTATAGATCTGTACTATATGATGCTTTGAAGTTGATGTATTCGTGTGATGAAACAAAATGTGCTTTACTTTTTACTTTTACTGTCTTAATTAAACATAGATAAAGTTGAATACATCAGTAAATATGCATTGCATTCCTTACTTTCTAATTTTAATATATATTTTTCTTAATATATACTAAATCTTGGGCAAAAAATTAAACCAATATAACATACATATTGAGGTTGATAATAAATTTTAAATAATGTGGAAAACTTATAATGTAATAAGTATGTGGAAAAATGTAGCCAATATATATTCATATTAAGGTTAAGCAAAATTAAACATAAATATTATTGAATACATTGTTGAATATAGAATGTGTTCTTTATTTACAACCCTTAATATATAAAGTCCCAGACGAAAATTGAAATAGAAATAATATGCATAGTGAGATTGAATTTTAAGCAGGAAAAAATAAATAAACTATCAAAATTTAATTAATTATGATTGAAGCAGGTGGGGTTCAAATCACTAAAGAACTGAAATAAACGAATCACAATGGTGAAACATCTTTAAAATTTATTTGGCTATTTAACAAGTTTTGATCTTCTAATGCCATCTTCCTCAGTAGTGGCGATTGAAATTCCAATTGCGTGAATAAATAATAATTTTCGAGCAAAAAACGTCCATTTTTTATTTTATTTTTAACAAATAATTCAAAGTTACCTATTATTTATATTAAGGTCCGTGATTACGGAGTGCATACATGGAGAAGGAAATCCTGGTTAAATGTAATGTAATGTAATTTTAATGTAGTACCGTAATGTATAGTAATGGCATTCCTTATTTTAAAAATAAAAAATAAAATTAAAAAAAACATAATTTTGATTTTAGAAATTGAAATATATGAAGCTCAATTCATTCATTTCTTAATTTGTTTGTTCATATGGTAATGGTTTACTGTAAATTCCAGTTTTGAAAATAATAAAAGTGACATCATCGTAGTTATATCGAAGCATTTGTCGATTCAGAAACCAATCAAGTTCGGCACACGAGCGTGACGTCGCAAAAAAATTTTTACTCGCAATCGAGGTTTTAACTAGTTTTTCGAAGTATTGGGGTATGGGATTCAACTAGTTCGAAGTTTAATCGAAGTTTCCCGATATTAGAGGATTAAACTTTCAACTGCAAATTTGCACCTGACGCCAATGCAAGTAATTACAGTTTCTTAAAAATTACGAGAATTTTTTTTTTTACTTTTTTAACATCACTCGAAATTTTCATTTCTTTAGACATAGGTCTAAAAAATTAAATATTCGCTTCTTTAGCCGTAGTTTACATAGAAAATATCTATTTTAATCTTTAATTTCTCTAATTTTTTTAAAAAAAAAAGATTAAAAACATCTAGGGACAGCGCAATGAAGATAATACTGTCTGGAATTTTTAAATGTCAATTAGAATTGACATTTAATAGTAAAAATAAATAGATACTAGAATGACTTAGAAGTCATTCTATTATTCAGTCAAATATGTCAGTCAAAATATGGCACCTGTTATTCAAATTCAAGTAATGCCTCAAGGATTTTCTCTATTGTTACATTCTAATCCAAGATCCTCATGGTGAAAAAAAGTATCATTCTTCTTACAGATGGATTTGAAGCTTCGTTTTTACTATTACTTTCAGGATAAATCAAAGCGTAACTTAAGAAATAATATGTGGATTTTTATCACATTTCTTTTCACAACAGTTTATGGTGAGAATTATATATATATTTTTTTTAGTTTCTAAAACGTATCTTCATTTCCAAAATTTTAAAAGCTAAGTGAATGAAAATAAACTGTAACTTAAAGTGATTTGGGAAATAAAACAGCTTTACTACATAAAACTGTCTAAAAAAAGTTTAAAAAGAAAAAAAAAATCTTTTTTGAAGAAAAGATTACTAATAAAATAATATTCTTGACTTAGATGCTATACATTAAACGCTCAAACATTAAAAATTGATTTTATTTCTAAAATCCTAATTCCCTTTTTTTTTTCTTAAAAACATTCTTAGCCACATTGAAATTAATTTTTATACAAATTGATCTCTTTCAACATAATTTTTTCTTTATAGGTGTTTGTTTTTTATGTAATAGCATATTACATTGTTTTTTATGTAATAGATAAACAAAAGTTTGTCTTAAAAAATTCAGATAATCCCCTATAGTTCCAAATCAAAACAAACTTTAAGCTGTTCTAAAATTCGATACGAAATTCGAAGCTGAACCTTACAAAATGTTATAAAATGTAACAAAATATTTTTTTTCCTCCTACGGTGAATTAGTAGTTTATGAGCAACTATTGCTAATTTATTTCATTTTAATTTATGAAGATAAGTTTAATTTATAAAATTGCAAAATATTCTAAAAGTTAAAAAACCTACAGTTTAACTTTGAATGAATATAACTATTTAAAAAATATTTTTTTAATGTGACCTCACTTGTTTATCTAACGTAAATAAGTTAGTTAAAAGTAATAAAATAACAGCATAAATGACTAACTTCTATTATATTAGAGAGATTTCGAGATATGTTATGTGCGTTTTCTTTTTTTAATGAAAAATGCTCATCTGTTTTCTGATTCTATTACGAAGAAAAAAATATATAATACACCGTTGCAAGTTAAGAAAAGACCATTGCTGTATAGGATTTAAGTAACCATCCGCAACTGCATATAGCTTCGTTTTATTTCGTTATCAAATTACACAAATATGCTTTCAAAATAATGTAAAAGCTTTTAAAAGTTAATAACGCCAGTCATAAATTAAATTCGCGCTATCTCTTACGATATATATCATAGAATTATTGAAAAAAGGTTATAGTTTCGTAGTCTTACTGCAATGCTAGACTTTGAGACATAATTCGATGAAAAAGGAGAAAATTCGTTCCTAAAATGAAACAACTCTTAACAAATCAAATGCGAGTTAGAAAATTTTAAATTTTGCTTCGCTGTAAAAGAAAATCTTCTGCAAGAAACAATATTTATTATTCCTTCACGAGTTTCTTTAAATAGGAACAGAAAGACGTATATTTGTTACGAACTTTATCAGTCATTTTTATTATTTCTTTTAACTTGTTAATTGATTATTGTTGTCACTAACTGTTATTACTATAGACAAGAAATCAAACAAAAAAGAAGTTGTGCAACATTGTTTCTGTAGTTGGCCTTTATACATTCTCGCTGGAATCTTGGCATCCATTTGGCGTGCACTTAGATACAATCTGTCTATCTCCATAGGGATAATGGCTTTTTCTTATTTTGCAGCAGTGAATAATTATATTGTTCCTTTCAAGCTTCTTGGAACTATTCATTTACAATAAACAAGGCGTCAAAACGTAAATGGTTAAATGAATAAATTTTGAACGAGCAGATAAAAACTTTTTTTTATACTGAACTAGCTGTACCCTGCGTGCGTTGCAACGCTTTCAATTTGAATTTGAATTTTGTATTTAAGTGTGTAAATGACATTTGCGATTATGATTTGAAATGCAAATTTTATTTAATGGTGAAAAAAAGCAGTTAATTCTCTAGGATATCATTAGTGCATTTTCAAACAGACATGTATGGTGATGCACACGGAGCATGAAACATATTTTGGACAATGATCTGAAATAAGACTGGATCTATGGTGACATCAAGAATTTCTGCTGATATCTGATCAGTTTTAGAAGGTGGTTTTTTTTCAATAAGCCAAATTAGAATGTGTGCCTGAGGCAATCCTCGTTTTTGCCATTCAATAGAGTACACCCAACACCGTGTCTCTCTAAAAACATGACGCTTCACAATGAAATCAAGTAAAGATTATCATTTTTGTTTGAACACACGTGCTGTAATATCATGACGATCCGATGATGATTGTCCTGGTAACAAAATATCTCTAATTTCAACCCAAGCAGAATTGCACGTAAATGTAATAAATAAATCTAGGAGCCCATATGCGAGAACATATGTCATTGCATCCTGTGAGTATTCATACATGTGCCTTGGAGTCCAAGGCACATGTATGAATACTCAGACATGTATGAATACTACATTTGCAGGGAGTCCAAGTTTTTCTCCCTGCAAATGTAGTCGGCAATATAATCATTTTCCCCACATCATTAGGATTAACGTTACCATCATTAATTATTGCATCCCGTAAATGAATGCATTCTTCTGAACGTAATTTGGTTTGATTTAATTTAATATACAGTAGGCGTTCAGTTTCAATTTTCGCATACATATCGACAATGTATTGATGAACTAATTGTCGACATTTTAAAGTATGATTATCAGCGTTTTGGCAATCATTAATCTATATGCATAAAAACTTATTGCACTTGCTTTCTTATTGGTTTTCTCGCCTGTTTGCGGACTTCTTAATTTTATGTTAAAATAATATCCCTCCTCTCCTCACCAAAATAAAATAGGATATTGCAATGCATCATATGATCGATACGTTTCTGAGAACTCTTTGAACGTCACGATTTCTGCGATGAAGAACTGTATCGCGGGAGGTAAATTCTTCGCCAACTATAACAATAGCCACTTCATCCAATGTTGGCGCATTGTATTTTTCTTTGTGGTGGCCTACAGGTGTTTTTTCAGCTCTAATAACAACTTTGTAAATATCGGATGACATTTAGTCTAGGGCAATTGTGAACAGCCTAATTAACTGATTATGTTGATCGAAAAATTTTTGTAATACGGTAACAATTTTTCGTTTAGTGCCATTGTTTACCTGACAACGTTGATTGACTTGATCATTTGTGTTATCCATGAAATAAATTTGTAGAAATTTATGATCTGCGTTAGGCATTGAAAGAAGTGATCCTTGCACGATGATAAATTTGGCCTTGCACTTTGAATGTTGGGATGTAATTCTCGTTCAGGATACGTGTAGCACCGAATAAAGTCATTTAGAAACACGAATTGTACCGGCGTATATGCGCCAAAAAATGTTTCGATTGGTTTGTTTGACCTGATACGAAGGTTGATAATGTCTCGGCAGGCGACGTAAAATCTTGTAGTTTCTGTATGCTTCTAGAACAGCAAATTTCAGCTGTTTCATTTTTAAATTTGAGAGCATTACAAAACATACATAATTGATATATTTCTCCGATGATGACACTTGGGGGAAGACTATAGTTTGTTGTCGGATCATAGTGAAATGCACTGAAATTCAAATCAGAGTATTGGCAGCGTCTGAATAGCGAAATGCGTTCTCGGTCGGTTTTCATTCTTGCTTCCCGTTGCTCTGATGTTTCCGACGAACGGGCTTGTGTAGTTCGTAGTTGATTTGTTGACAGTCTTCTTTCCTGTTGCTCAGACGTTTCTAAGGAACGGGCAAAAGCATTCTGTTCTCGATTAGTTTCAAGTCTTTTTCCCGTTGCTCCGATGTTTCTGAAACACGGGTAGTTCTCTTTTTGCGCGCTTGAGATGTCGACCGACTAAGAGCGATTTGCTTAGGCGGCATATTTTTGCAAATATTCTTTCTGACAACGAAAAAGAAATGTAAAAGTTGGCAGTGGTCGCAAATTTGCTAAATCGAAATATCACATACATATTTTAAATAATAAAAAGAGCAATAAAAATGAGATGAATAAGAAATATGAAAATTATAAGATTTAAAACAAAAATCAATTTTATAAATGAAAGAAATAAAATGGATGAATTCGAAAACTTTGCATAAATAAACAAACAAACTAATAGTTTTCAAATGACAACTGTCACAGCACTGAAATCTTCGAAAAGTATATTTAATTTTGCTAACCTAAAATTACGTACTAAATATAAATATTTCTGAAAACGTGCAATTTGAATGAAATTTGCTTTTGTCTTTATATTTATTAAACAGTTTTCACAGTACTGAATCCGTGATACGACCAACAATTAAGAAATCTATTCTCGTTGATTTTACTTGCTTGTGCTCACCTGACATAAAGAAAAGCGCGAATTAAAAATTAAAGTATATGCAATTTACTTTAATTTACTTTTCTAAATGAATAGAGTTATAAGATAGAAAATATCACTGTTGTTATCTTCAAGATATTTGAAAATTGAATCGTTTATAGCAAAATTTAAAACAATGGCTAGCTTTTAACCAATCAGAAAATTCCATTTCGACTTTCACTGATATCGCTGGAACGGTTTATCGCACGGGATAAAAAGTATCCTATGTCCTTCTCCTGGCTCTAAACTACCTCCCTGCCAATTTTCAGCTAAATCGGTTCAGCCGTTCTTGAGTTATAAGTGAAGTAACTAACACGACTTTCTTTTATATATATAGATATTGCGCCATGAGCATGAAAATTTTGATCACATGGTCACAAATTGATAAAAAATCTGAAAGTTGTGTACAGCAAAAAAGAAATGGTTTACTCAGATTACTCGCATGTGAAATTATCAAACTAGGTACTAATCTCAGCCCACTTCAATGTCTTGTGTATTTTACCGATTTACGAGGAATTCAACATTGCGCTACCTTAAAAAATGTCCCACATCAGTAAGGTTACTACTATTTTCTTCCATGTGAGCATTTATTTCTTTGGTTTTAGGAGCACATATTCCATTAGAAGAAAATGGGAACAGCGTGTGTAGCAAGGCTCCTTCAGAAGCATGCATGTTCCAGAACACTATTAAGAAATTTACAGAAACATCTGTTAGTGTAGACGATCTATGCAAGTAAGTGTTTGCACTGAAGAAACATTTTAATTTTAATTGGTTACATTTTTGATTTACGTTATTTTGATATTTTTCTGTGCTTAGCATACATTTTGATGATATTGACACACAATAGATTCAACACCCCAAAAATATATACACAGAATAGAATCAATATCCGCCCAATATAGACGCAGAGTACCTTGTAATTCAGCAGATGTACAGTACTTTGTGATTCCACAGAGTACCTTTCAAAACGATGAAAAATAAAAGATCGCCATGTGAGATTAGGAGAAATATCACTTGAGAACTTTTAGGACTTACATGGTATTTTTTTCAGAACTCTAAAGCAGTAAAAATATGATATTTATTGTTTTGAGACATCAAAATTCACAAAAATTCATCGAAAATTGTATATTTGTCAGTTTTAATATTTTTTAAAAATTTAATTTTTCGGCAGTTGAAGCTTAGGAAAACATATTTGGATGAAGAAAAAAAATTCTACTGACAAAATCTGCACAAAAACAAAAAATTTGATGGAAAATACTACAACCGATAAATGTATACTATTTTACTACCTTTCAAAAACTGCCGATTGCAGAAATGCATTGTTAAAAGTATGCCAGAAAAAAATAAAAGAAAATATGTAAGATTGCATATTTTGTATTTCAATTTCTGATTGGATGACGGCCTACACTAAAAATCAACTATCAGTTTGTTTTTGAAAATGAAATAGAGGAGTAATAGCACATTTAGAATCCCCATCCTATCTCCACCTCTTTGACAATTGAATTCTCTCAACACTTACCAATGGTATTGTCTTTAACGAGCAAAATAAGAACTAGTAAATTTTCAATTGAAATAAAACCAAAAATAAATTGAAAAGATAGACAAAAACATAAGTTGAAAGTATAAACTTGTGTGCCCTTAGAAAAAGATAGTTTCCATATTCCTTTAATTTTAGCTTATTTAAGAATGTATGTGAGTGACACAGTGGTTAGGGTCTCAATCTTTTTTAACTGATTGGACCCGCGATTTATTGCTGCTGGAAACAGACAATTTCTATTCATTTTTTTCATCTTAAAAATATAATTTTTTTTCATTTTAAAAATATTTACATTAAAATTATTCAATTAATTTGCGCTCAAAAATTACAAATTTTGAGTTCTTTTGTTTGATAAATATGAGCTTAAAAAATTAAAATTCTAATTAAGTAAAAATAATCTTGTGAAAATAAAGAGCCTTTTTAATTGTTTTAAATTCTAATTTAAAAAATAACTTGAATAATTTATTTTTCAAATAAAAGTGAGAGAAGCTGATTTAATTAAAATGAACTTTAAGCAAAATTATATTTTAATTATAATAATACTAAATTGCATAAAACTGTTCTAAAATTTTTACGAAATCATTACGAAAGAAAAAAAAATATTAATAAAGAAAAAAAAAATTTCAAGAAAAAATTCTCATGATTAGTTTTTTTTTCATTAATTGTTTTAAAAAAAATTTCATTATTTAAGTGAAAACATTATTTTTTGGTTGAACATTTAAATTTAGAAATGAATTTTCTCAAATAATCCAATCGCTTCAACCATTCCCCATTCAACCACCCAATCATACCATTCACCCACCCCCATATTCAAAATATGAGAATAAGCAATTTCTTAAATTAAAGAAATTCTTTAAATAAAATTTAGATTATTCAATTTAGAGAAAAAAAATTCTTCTTCAACAGGAATAGAATCTGAAAAATACCTGCCACGATTTGAATTCAATTGAATGCAGAGTTTCATGGCGCAGATTTCAACTTAGGCCTACATGCCACGAAGTAGATTTCCGAAACAACTTCGCAACTCATTAAAATCGCAAAGAAAGTATCGTTTATTTAATGTTAATTATATTAAAACTTTTTGGGGAGTCATATCCTTAAATTATGCTATGAGGAAAGCTATATTCACAATCAAATAAAGGTGAAACAGTATTCAATATACTTCATGATTTTTTTTTTGTGATAAAAATTGTTAAATTCGTCCGACACAAAAATCTTCTTTAATTTCATTTATGTTTTTTTAATGGTATTTTGGAGCAGAAATTTTTACATTTTTGGAGCAGAATTTCTCCCAAAATAAAATTGCAATTAGAAAAAAAAAACTTAATGCAGCAGAATAATTTAGAATAGTGTTAAGTTACTTGAGATTATTATTTTGAACTTTAAAAACAAATTTCGCATAATTATCGAAAACAAATGCTGAATTATAATGAGTGAAACTCAAAAGTATTGCCAGGAAACATTTATGCTTTAGAGCTATTGTGGCCCTGTTTGGGCCTATTGCGTGCATACACGCACACCTTGGATTTGTTTTCCGTTTCAAACTGGTGTGCTCCTGCTATGCTTTTTTGAACTCATTGATGATGAAAGGCCACATTGAAACAAATCTAGACCAATGGGTGAGTAAAAACTTTCCTTTAGTGTTTTTCAGAAGTATCAATATGATTTAATGCATAACTTTAAGTGTACATTCACTTTTATCTTTGTGAACATTGTTTACCCCTGATATGATTCCAGCTCCATAGCTACAACCCACCAACAACAAGCGAACCTTTTAGAACGTTCCACTATTAGGCTTTCCTTTTAAAAATGGGATGAATGGCCTAGCAGCTGTTATGTTATTCTTTGATTAATGGCAAGTATTTTCTCCCAGCGAGGGAGAAGCTAGCTATTTTTTTTGTCACACCAGCAACTGCATTGCAGTTCTCGCACATACATTTGGCTTTTGTCTAGTTATATATTAATTGTAAATAATACACCATTTGATATTTGTATGCATTGTAAAATAAATCTTTTTGTTGCAGTGAATTGGTTAATCTTCATCACTGCATGTCGAATTTCTTTGAAAGCTGCGATACTGATAAAAACCAAGTTCCATTCCGATCAGTTTTCGATTCAGGAATGATTCTGATGGTTTGCAAGAATAATTCTGCCATTCACAAAAGTAATTCTAATTAGAATAGAAAAAAAAATTATTTTAATATTTCAAAGAACTTCAAATTAGGAAGTAACTTCGATCCAACAATAAATAAAAAAATCTGACTTTCCAATAATAAATCAAAGTATTAATAGCCAGGGTCTGAAAATTTGAATACTGAAGTGACTAAAGAAAAGATAGAAATTGTATAATATGAATATTTGAAGTGTTTTCTATCTACTCAGAGGTGAGTCAAAGCTTCAAAATTGAATTAATTAAGGGGTAAAAAGGTCATAAAGTATAAACACTGCAAATCAATTTTTCTTTACATCTTGACAAGTATATATATATATATATAGCATGGAATTACCTTAGAATAAATGAATTTTATAATTGTGTGCAAAAAGTGTTCAATTCGCTTAAAAATTTCTTGAGATATATTGAAATAAGCAAAAGGTAAATTTAAAATGTCCAAGATTGCGGCCCCTCCCTATATTTTGGTGGTCAGAAATACGAATCCGTCGAAAACAAAGTTTGTTTATTCAGACAAAGTATATTTTTGCCTCTGATTTCATAACTTAAATATTCTCATTTATTTTTTAGCACATAAAGATTTCTCCCCCTCGAACCATTAAGAATAAGTCCCAGAACGTGGAGATCAAAGGAGGTCAGAGGTGGTCATTCAAAATTTTTTTTTAGCACTGGTCATTGAAACGATAAAATAAGTTAAAAGCACATAAACACGCATTTCCATTTCAAAGAGAAAAATAAAACTTTTTTTAAAAATATTTCTTTTATAAATAATGTTTCCTTTTCTTCTTTAAAAACATATTAAATTTAAAATAAAATATAAACTATAGACAGATAGATGTACTATAAGGGCGTTATTTGAAAATATTTGCCTCTAATTTAAATACAATGAAAATCAAGGCCATAATCATTGCATATATAAACAATAGGATTGTTGTCAATTGTTGTTTTCTGCCATCTAGCAGCATGTTTTTGTTATTAAAAGAACAGCGAGAATCTTATCGCAATAATTTAGTAAAGCACAGAACTAGACAGAAAAAAATTTTTTTCTTCGTTATTCCTTTTTATACCGGACAGCGTGAACGTTGTCTTATCTAAATCTATAGTGGAAATAAAGATATACGTGTAGTAGGAAACTTTCTCTCATAAGATACTCTTCCAATANCCTTTAATCGAAAACAAAAATCTATTTATAACTTTTTATTCTAATTTTCCAACGGCTAAATGTTTCGGTTGCATGGTTATAATAATTCACATAAATTTGTTGGCGACTCGTGATCGCCAAGGTGTTCTTTTTAACCCATGTGGATATGCTAGTTGGCTTTGTTTTTGGCTATGATATATTATGATAAATCGCCAAATTTTGGATCTCCTACCCATACTCTTTCTCTGTCCGTTGAGAATAAATATATTCACTTTGAATTTCTAAATTGGTGAGACTGGGACCCCTTCTGGGGGTCCTCCCCAGTCTTTATTTTATAACCGTCAGAAATGTTGTTCTGCCTTTATGATCTCTCAATAGAGAGTATTATTAATTTCATCCCTTTAAGGGATTTCTTATTTTATTGATGAAGTGGCCACTATCGAAATCTTAAGTTATGATTAATAAAACCTAAATTTACATAAAAAAAAAAAAAAAAAAAAGAAGGAAAAAAAGAACAAAAAGAAAAGAAAATAAATATGTGTATGCCAATTCTGGCATCACACCCCCTAAGAGAAGAAACTTAAGATATTCATATTGGAACCAAACCAAAATTAGAAAAAAAAGCGTAATTCCGGATATAATCGAATTATTTCTAAATACTCTATACCTTATTGGACTGCATAGTGTAGTCCAGTTCCGTTCTCCTAGCCCTACCTTAAAGGCCAGAGTAATTATAATAGTGAAACGGAACTAGATTTTTGATTTTTAAACATAGAAGGGTACCTAATTGTAGAATATTTAATGCATTGATGGTGGTGTTTTGATCGATAACCATGATATATTGCAAACACTGATATAGAAAAATACAAATTATTCGACTATGCAAACGTTTTAACCGAAAAATTTCTATTAGAAAAGTAAGAATTTGTATAAAACTAGCATTAGTAATTACGTTATAAAAATATCATATCATGTTCCCTCCAACTTGTTACTTTTTTTAAAATTGAGCATATATGTATAAAATGAGCTATTTTGAGCTATTTAATCAATATTTGTGAATAATTGAGTAAATTATTCTAATTAATTGTAATCATTATCATGTTAAGAAATTATTTAGCTATGATAATGGTTTATTCATAATAAGTGATATTATTCTCTACAAATTATTATTTTTCTTTACAAAATCTCAATTTGTCACAAATAGGCAGTTTTCAACCAGTTCACTTTAATTTAATCATTTTGCTACAGTTGACTAAGTAAGATTTCATATATAAAGTGCATAAAATACAGTGTAATTTAGAAAAATACCATATTAGGTTCCCTCCAACTTTTTATTATTTTTTAAATTAAGCATATATCTATAAAATGAGCTATTTTGACTACATATATATTTAAACAATATTTGCGAATAATTGAGTAAATTATTCTAATTAATTGTAATCATTCTCATGTTAAGAAATTATATGGCTATGATAATGGTTTATTCATAATAAGTGATATTATTCTTTACAAATTATTTTTTTTACAAAATCTAAGTTTGTCACAAATAGGCAGTTTTCTACCAGTTCACTTTAATTTAATCGTTTTGCTACAGTTAACTATGTAAGGTTTCATATATAAAGTGTATTAAATACAGTAGATACAGTAGTAATGCAGTAGAAAAATATCTGATCAAGGTGTGCTCCAGCAAAGAGTTCATTTGACCCAGTATTAAAATAATTATCTCTACAATAGTCATATATGTGTTGAAACAAAATAAAGGTTAAATAGAATTAATAAATAAAAAATGTGTTAACTTTTTTTTACTTCGGTTTAAATTAATTACGGAAAATAATATTGAAATAAATATTCCCGTAGTATACGAAAGAAATATTTCCATATATATTGTGATGCCAGAATTTGGAATTACATATTTATTTCCTATCTTTTTAAAATATCCTTCATTACTTAAGCTTATTTTTATTAATAGAATTATTTTTAAAATAAATCAAAAACTTAATCTTTTTAAACGAACATAAAATATTTATTTCTTCTCTTCCAGATCAATGTAACGGATACTTTCTTTTTATTTCATTATTATGCAGACATATAAATTCACTGTCGCCTCTAATCGAAAACAAAAATCTATTTATAACTTTTTATTCTAATTTTCCAACGGCTAAATGTTTNTTTCAAAAGCGGTGAAGCACAGTTCAGTCAACACCATTTATTGATAAAAAAAGTTCCGAAAAGAATGCAAAATTAGTGTCTAAAGCTCAAACAATACAAGGCTTAAACGAGAAAAAAATAGAGTCTTTTTGAATAAATTTTGATCTAATGATCGGATTGTTTCTCATACTTTCCCCAGGAGGCATTTTTGGAGGTTCGAGGGAGTTACAACAATTTTGATAATGAGTAAGGGAAAATGATGTTTTAAGTTGCGAACTTACTTCCTGTGAATAAATATAAAATTTTAAAATAGTCGAAATTTTTGATTTGTAATGTATATAAAATTTAAATCATTTTCAAATTTAATTTTACAAGGCGAAATACTAAATTTGAACAAAATTGGTCGAATAGTATTGCCTTGTATCCTGAGAAATTAAATTTCAGTACCTGATTTTTTTAATCGAATTTTCAGATCGAGATTTAAATGTTTTTGTCGTAGTTGCTAAAACCAGATTATAAATACTTATCAAAAACATATTAATGATTTATTGATATTAATGATATCATTTTGGATGAATTTATAACTTTTCAAAATTTTATTTAAACAAGAAATGAATATTCAATTTATATGTATAGAGAGCTAGATATGTACATTAGATATTGAACTATATATATATATATAGTTCAATATCTAATGTACATATCTAGCTCTCTATACATATAAATTGAATATTCATTTCTTGTTTAAATAAAATTTTGAAAAGTTATAAATTCATCCAAAATGATATCATTAATATCAATAAATCATTAATATGTTTTTGATAAGTATTTATAATCTGGTTTTAGCAACTACGACAAAAACATTTAAATCTCGATCTGAAAATTCGATTAAAAAAATCAGGTACTGAAATTTAATTTCTCAGGATACAAGGCAATACTATTCGACCAATTTTGTTCAAATTTAGTATTTCGCCTTGTAAAATTAAATTTGAAAATGATTTAAATTTTATATACATTACAAATCAAAAATTTCGACTATTTTAAAATTTTATATTTATTCACAGGAAGTAAGTTCGCAACTTAAAACATCATTTTCCCTTACTCATTATCAAAATTGTTGTAACTCCCTCGAACCTCCAAAAATGCCTCCTGGGGAAAGTATGAGAAACAATCCGATCATTAGATCAAAATTTATTCAAAAAGACTCTATTTTTTTCTCGTTTAAGCCTTGTATTGTTTGAGCTTTAGACACTAATTTTGCATTCTTTTCGGAACTTTTTTTATCAATAAATGGTGTTGACTGAACTGTGCTTCACCGCTTTTGAAACAACACAACTAAATGTACTGTTTAACTTTCCTTAGCTTTTACTGACAATGCGAAGTGCATTAGCAATACTGTCAAGAAAATGGGTGAAAATGGTTTCTGCAGAAATCATCTCACTGCTCTAGCTGAAGAAACTCCAGATATCCAAGATAAAGTAATGAGTTTCGTCACAGACGAGCACATGGGGAAGTGTTTGTAAGTTACAATTAAAACTACTTGTTAAAACTGTAGGCAAAGATCCAACACATTGATGCCAATGCAAATTATTATTATACTGAAGAAATAGAAAAACGCTATCAATCACTTTGTCAAATCAATAGCTGACAATTCACGAAAAAAGTACAAAACACAAGTAGGGGTGAGTTGGACAAAACGGGATGCCATTATTGTTTTTATTTACTGCGGAATATCTGTTAAGGAAAACCATGCATTATTTTTTCTGTAACTACAACATTTATTGAAGCACATAAAAAACATATTTTAAACTAATTTTAATGACTATGAAATAGAAAAAAAATTTTATTTGCAAACTCTTACATATCCCGTTTTAGCATACCTGGGTTGGATAAGACGGGATAGGGTTTACAATGTTAAATTTTTTGCACAAAACTAAGTGAGAAGTATAATTAACTGACAGAGAACTGCAAAGCAATATTTCTATAAATTATATTAATGGGATTTTACCGTTCTAACACTTTTATATGATTGTTGTTTTATAAGTAAGTACACAAAAAATATGATGCTACATTTGTTTTTAAAGACTATGAGTTTTCAAACATTAAGGCTTATTTCCGCAATTTTCGTTGTCGAGATGTGCCTTGTGCTCTTAAGAGAAATTTCTTAGCAGCCTTTTCTTCAATTCTCTTGGTTCTTTCTTGTAGTTTAATCATGTTTTCCCTTTCTTCCATTTCTAATTCACGCCATTGATGTCGCAACATTCCTGAAAGACTCTTTAATAATCTAGTATTTAAATTCTTCAGTAAACAATGAGAAGAATTCTTTTTAGAATTGAATGTAGATTGAATTGAGCAATCCAGAAAATTAAGAAGTTTATATGTAAAAAAGCTCAAGTCTTCATCAGAGAAATTCATTACAATTAGTTCTAAAGAAAGATGTGAAATCCTAGAGTCGAAAATAAAATTCTTAATAATAAACGTTAATAAACAAGTTTTGCATTACTATATAAAGAGACTAAATGTTTCTAAAATATATATAGCTAATATAAATAAGTCTAGGCCTACATTAATATATGGCAATTTTAAAAGGTAATAATCCAACAAATAAATAGGTGGATAAAAAGGGACATAAAAAACTCTATCCCGTTTTATCCAACTCATAAGTGTCCCGTTTTGTCCGACTCCGACACTTCTTGAAACAAACATGGCTGCTGCCTAAATGTGAAACGAAAATTAGTTAGACTGCACATAAAAATATTGGTAAATGAATGGTTAATCAAATTTAATACGCAGCGGAATTTTATTCCCATATATGTAGGCAGTACAATGTAAAAAACAAGGCACGTAAATGTAGAAAATGGCAAGAAAATAGAATAAAAAAATTCTGAGACCTACAACTTTCTATCAAATAGTGATTTCGAGATGGGACGCACCGAGAATGTTATAATCACGGTCGAATAACACGCTTCTGTCCTTATCCACTATATAGCTGCAATAGTCTGGTCCCTAGGCGACGTATCCCGTTTTGTCCGACTATCCCGTTTTATCCAACTCTCCCCTACGAAGAAACAAAACTTGCAGAATAGTATCCTGGAACCCCCTTTCAACTCCTTTTAGTTTTCATCGGCGAGCAAACAGGTTTGGTGTTTTGTACATTTACCTATCTCAACAGTGATTCGTCTGATTTTGATGGCTTTCCTTTTTAGTAATTGACTTCCTTTTGATAGATATTTCATCTTATATAAAAATAAAAGAAATTACGCTTTACAATACATTTACATTTACACTGGCCTATTTATATAAAGAATGGTAGGGAGTAATACTAGGTTTCTAAGATTCGAAGGCCTGTTGAAGTTGTTCTATTCTACCAAGCAACTGTCTGGTTTAAATAAGATATTTATTGTTTAGTTTCAATCAATATGTCCTTCTTGAAAAGTCTAAGATGTACATTTGTTTTTATAAATGAATTTTTTAATCCACATGGTTTGAATAATATATCCTTCCGGAAAAGTCAGATGTACTGCATTTTTTTAAAAACGACTTTTTCTTTTCTTAAAAAAAGTCAAACCACTACAAACCGGGTATACATGTTAACTCAGTGTGAAATTTATAAATACCAGAATTTCAGTGAAAAAGAAGCAGACTTATCTATTTTATATGACAACTTAATTAAATTATGTATGTAATTTACAAATAATACAATAAAGGCTGTACTCAAGGGAGAGGGCAGAGACAATTGTCAGCCCGGAACGACTGAGGACATATACAAAAAATATATAGTGCTCAGTAATGTTTCTTTAAACGAAACTGACCGAGAAAATTTTAATTCACAATTGTGCAAAAAGGTCTTTCAAAAAATGTAGAAAAAATGAAAATAAGGCTTTTTGTGCTTTGAGAATAGGGCACGCAGTAAATTTTATCGTGACGCCCGTTAAACCTTTCTTCTGTCTGCGATATCTTCAGCTACCCAGCTATCTTCATGATACCCAGCAAAAACGCACACATCAAGGTAGGGAGCGCCTGACCGGTTAGTATCCAGTTTTTCTCCGCGAGCAGAGGTTATCGAAACGAAACAGAACATTGTACTTTTCAGACTCAATCCTTATTGTATGTTAGACTATGAATCTTGAGTAAATGTAAAATAAGCTGGACTTAAAAAAATTTTGCAACTGAAACAGAAAATTAGAGATTTGACATAGTAAAACAAACATATTCACATAGATGCTATGAATTAATCAACAATAACACATCAATATGGAAAGTCCTTCTTTTTGATTAGTTAAGTGTAATTCAAAGTTTGTTCGCTAGTAAAAAAAAAATTAAGTTCGCCAAAATCGAAGTACTCGGTTTTATCCCACTCTTCCTTATCTTATGTTCAAATACATAACTTAATAGATTTACATTTTATGCTTTGAATTTATAGCCTTCGCTAAGGACGCTGGACACCCGTTCGTGAGAAAGGGAGTTCGAACTAAGCCGGTCAAAGATTCCTCGTGTTAAAAATGGTCAGTGGTGCATGTTAAATTTGTCGGGTCTATGTTTCCATAACAAATTAAACCTCTGCGGGTACTGCATTGGAGATTGGTCGTTCTTTAGTTCAGTTCAAAATTACGATCTGTGGATGAATCAATGGATGTGTGAATGAGTTAAGCGGGTGTGACGTATGGGTGTGGCAGAAATCGAATTCTTGGCCATTGATGGTGCCATTGGAAAACAAAAACTATCACATACCCTTTAGTCTTAATGGCGGGTGACAACAACAACAAAGATTTAAAAATTAGCATTACAACATGCGGTAATATTTCATACAGACCATAAGTGTTTTCTTACAATGTGCAGTATTTATAAATTTCTCTTTAAGTATTTTTAATGCTTTTTAGGGAAATGGTATTTGAAATTGGATGTATAGCTACTGAACTATCTGAATCATGTACTCCTGAAGCAAAGCATCTGTTTATATGGTTCGTAGACTTAAGCAGAGTGTCAAAAAGTGTGTGTTCCGAGGAATATGAAGCAAAAATTGATGAATTTGTGGAGCTTATGAAGTTTGACCTGAAGCATTAAATATTTCTTTTAAAGTTTAACAGTTTTTTTTCGTAAATACATATATATTTTTTTAAATTTCTGAAATGATATTTTAAATCATCATTTTTGGCATCTTTACGTGCATATCAGCATTTTGTATTGATATTAAAAATGCTACATTATTGTCGAATTCGTAGTAATTTCATTGGCCATAGTTCACATTGTGTTTAAAAATATGATGAGTACTAACCATGCAAGTTGTTCTCCCTTACTATACTTTATCTTCCTTTAATTTATTTAACCTTTTAGTATTTACTTAGCAATCTTCAATGCATTTAAAAAAATTAAAGTTAAAAAGAAGTGTCATACATTAGGTGTCATCAGCTAATACTAAATGTTGAAGAATCATCAGAATCTGATGAATCAAAAGGCAGTGTTGATATTATCAAGACCAATTTGATTGCCAGGAAGCTTTTAAATTAACTTTCAAATCCTCTAAGTTATACCAATGTTTAAAAAATTCTGAGATCTTTTTAATCCCGTCGTGCTCTGTGCGGAAATTCTAAAATATACGTGTGCCATATTTGTAGACTTTTCTATTAAAAACGCAGTTAAAAAAATCCAACAGGATTAATAATTTAAATTTAAATAACTATTTGTTTCATTTTCTCAAATTTTTATTTATTTTATTTTTTAGAAATTCATAATATTTTTTAAAAATTAAAAACTGGCTGCCACTGACCTAATATATCACTTTGTGTCCATAACACCAATTTTTAAAGATTTGCTTAACAATTAGGGTCAGAAAAAAAATAAACTGGAGCAAGTGTAAATAACACTTAATGTTATCTAAAAAAATAATAGGACTGTATGATTTTTTTAACTCAGTTATGTGCGTTTTAAGTTCGCAGGCGTAATATTCGTAATATTTTGTTATGCTTACTGTTACTCACTCCTAGTCAGTTTACTTCTTTCTTTTTCATTTCTATTTTTTGCTTTTCTTTCTTTTAGCTGACAATAACTGATCAACCTGTATAAGTTATGGGATCGCAGTGTGATTTAAAGTGCTGTAAGATATAATATTTTAATTTATTGTATTGACATACAGATTTCTCGTTTGTAAAATGCTAAAACAAGGACTAGTTAGTTCATTATATTAAAAACTTAACTTCAAGAAAGGCGTGGTCTCACTTTTTTAAAACGTGCCTGATTTAATATTCTTTGTCAAATTTGGCAGTTGCATCTCCTACAAATAAAAAAAGTTGCAGAGCCTTAAAATCTTGATCAAATGATCGGATTTTCTAATCCTGGGATTCGATCTTGACGGTTTGAAAGCCTAATCTTAATTTATTATAAACTACTGCATTTGATATCTGAAGTTACTTAGTCAAATGCAAAAACTTACGTTCTTAGAATTAATGAATATTTAACTTTCTCAAAAATCGCTGATTTCCATTCGTTATTTTTATTTCTGTTTCATGATCGTCGCTGAACAACCGACCTAATTTTCGGTTCATGACGACCAACGTTTGCTTTCGTGACGGACTTTTTTGATAACCTATATTTGCGTTACATGGAGAAGAAAAACACGAAAACCTTCTGTGGTTAACCTGACGGCACGAAAATTTTAACCCACTACCCGTCTACCACTGAGAATATTTTACGTTAGCACTGTGGTCGGTACGAGCTGTGTGTGTGGAACTCGTTTCAACCAACTATCGCTGAGATTCGAACCCGGTTTATCTCATTGAGAGGTGAGCGCTCTATCCCCTGAGCCACCACGGCTTCGAAACTTTATGGTGAAATGGGTAAAATGAGAAATGAACATTAGGAACCCCAATCCTCTGGCCGATCACCAGGGAAGAGTAACAGATGGAACATCAACTTTTAATCTCGGCTTACATTACAGAAAACTAAACAATAATTTTAGAATTTTTTAACTAAAAGAAAATATCTAGCATACTAGAAAAAAAGAAAAGATGGTATAAAATTTAGCCTGGATTGAATATTCTTAATTTGAGTGTACCAATTTTTATAATCAATAGCATATAACATTTAAATGTAATATACTATGTGATAATGAATATCAAAGACTATGACTTTGATAGTGAATATCAAAGTAATAGTTTTTCAACTTAAGTACCTAAACAGCTACTATAGCACAATCATTTTCATAGAAAAGAAATAATAGAAAATCAGGTCATGTGTCAACAACTTATGACAATTCACCAATTCACAAAAAATACATAAATTAATTAAATTAAAAACTTATTGATTACTTACTAATCTTCCAGTTTATATCTGCCTCACAAGATTTTGAATTATTTTGTTAAAAATTCCACAACAGACGATTTCTGATGGCAGACGATTTCTGAAATTCCATTTTACTTCTCTTTAGTACCAGAAAAAATACATCACGAGAAATAATTTTAAAAAAATGTCAACAAATCTCACTTTATGAATTGAATTTTGTTCCACTTGATAATCATGACTTTAGAGCCATCATATTCTAATAGAGAATCAGGAATAAAAATTTAGCTATATTTCGAATTAACTAATAACCAATTGACTTTTGGGAGACAACCATTTTGAACAACGATTTTTAGAAATCGAACTACAAATGAAACTTAAAGCTTATTGATTAGTATTATAATGCTTTCATTCATAATGCCTTATACTAGAACCAACAAACTTATGAAAATTCGTAAACAACTATACCACAGCAGACGTAATGTGAAGAATCAATTCACTTCTCTTCTCTTCGAGAGAAGAAGAAAAAAATAGTTTTCGCCTGGTTTTATTTGCATTTAATATCAGTGAAAGCGGTCTGGTTATTTTTTTATACTCGCAATCAAAAGATTAAAAAAATGGGATGCGATAAAAAATACAGTAGGAAGAATCATGTATCATACAGGAAAAAGTCAAACGATATCTCAAGAGAGTTTCAATTAATTAAATAAATAAATTTCAATCTTAAAAAGAAAATTAAAAAATACTGGATCTTTAATTTGTTTAACTTATTGCTGGCTCTGAACAAAAAAAATTTACATTTAATCATTGGTTTAAGTCCGTTAATACTCAAATATTTACAAAGTAAGCAAGCTAGACAAGGTAATGCGCATTAAGAAGTATGACGTATTTCACTTAAAATGAAAAGTAACATAGTCTTTTCAAATTTTTGAAAATAAAATTGTGCAATTTGCAATTTAACACTCCTTTTAAATCAATTTTTTTTTACTAGATTTAAACAATATTAATTTTGACATGCAAAATTTTTTATGCTTATTTTTTTAGATACATGGATATTTTTCGTAAATGTGTTATTCATCGATATTTATTTTTTTATGAAATAGGTTTTAAAGAATTTTCAAACTGGAAAAAGTTGCTATTATTTGTATAATTACAAAGCTCCTTTCGGTTGATTTAAAATAGATTCCATTACAATTTATTATGAAATCTTAATAAATTGTATTTAGAAATTCAATAAATTGTATTAGATATTCAATAAAAAACACTGTAAGGGAAAATATCTGGTAGATTAAATAAACCCGGAATCAGGCATTTTTGACTAAATTTATACTGCCACTTATTAGAAAACACATCAAAATATAGTTGACTTGCTATTTGGAAACGAATAAAAAAGGGAGAAGCCTATTTGGTTGTCTATGGAGGGAGTTTTTAAAAATTCGATTAGTAAAATTATGATTTTTAAGAACACAATTTAATTCTGTAGTTTAAATTTCCTGAAGATTTACTTTAGATGAGTTTAATACCTTTGATTAAGCCTCTTTATAGTCTCTTTGATTAAGTCTTTTTCATTGATTTCAATTGTAAAAATAGGTTTTAAAACACTTTAAAAAAATGTCAAGCCTTTTTCTTTTCTTTTAATGGAGTACTTGCAATCCTAGAAGAAAATACTGATGAGATCAAATGATTGTGTCTAATTACGTGGTTGTGCAGGGCGTGTTACCTTTACAGCTATTAATCTCGTTTTATTATACCGCCGGATTAATTTTATTATTATCTTCAATTCGATACCTGCAAGTGACGTCACTCGCATATGTTGAATCTGATTGGCATTACTGATACGTGCCATAAGCAAATACCCCAATTTACCCACGTGTGACGTGCTGGAGGCATCCGTTCGGCACTGCCAGATAAAATATAGACCTTTTTAGTTGCCATGAATGTTGTTCAAAGTACTCCTAATTAAAATTCCTGAAAGAGAATCCAATAGCAAACGACTGGCACTTGAAATTTTTTTCCCTATTAACTCTACTCAACTCAATTAATTTGTGATAAAATCCAAATATGTGTTCTTTAGTTTTAGAACTTCTGTATATTCAGGATTGGTCATAATATTAATTCGTCGTTATAAATGAGTATTTCAGCTGAATAATATTTTTATTTTCCATTAATTCTATGTACTACAGAACTAAAATATTATTCGATATATTATTATATTATTTCTATATACAACCTGTTCTTATAATTTTCCTTCAAAAAAAATCTTTATCTCCAAAATAAAGTTTTTCTTCCCGTTAAATAATCTTTATTTTTGGTGCTGAAAGATCTATTTTATTATAGACTAGCCGCCAAAGGCGCCCAGCTGTTCGCCAAGCTAAAGGTTTTCACAAATAAAGTTTTTTAAAACATAGCCGGAAATCTGAAGATTAGTGGACAATTAAAGTGTTCCTGTCCAGCAATTTTGTCTTCATATCCAGTTCTGCTGCAGATGTGTTATAGCTCTTGAGGATGTTTGAAATTATATAGCTACAACGCTTAAGAAAAAAAAAACTAAAATGCTAAATACATGAAAAGAACACGAAAACGAATAAATTTTTTATGGTATCAATTTCTATTTCTATATAATTTTTTATGGTATCAAATTCTATTTCTATATCTGTTACGTCAAGCACTCAGGTATTATAATTTGATCTAGTTGTGCTTGTATAATTTTGATCTAGTTGCGCTTTCTACGTCATTTTGTTAACATCGTTTGGTTTGTTATTTAACATCGTTTGGTTTGTTATTTCTAAGTTAACTTTCAAAAAATTGGCTGGCATCAGCATTTTTATTCTTTAAGTTGTTTATTTTTTCTTTTGGAATTCGTTCCTTTTTAGCGAAATGTTTTTCAACCTAATCGAATTCTTTGCCGACTGTTCTCTGTATATATAAAGAAAATAAAGTAAATATTTTTAAAGTGTTGTGAAAAGAATTTTTAGTTGTACAAAGTACTACAATATCGCTATAAAAATTATCGTCTTCGCTTAAGAAAAAAAAAAAAGAGCGTGGAAAGAAGAAGAAAAACTTATTATAACAATTATGAACAGCGACAAATATATCAAAGCGAAGCGTTCTATTTACGTATCGAATATGTTGCCACATTTTTAATACAAAAGTTAAACTTTTCTCCACTTTAATAAATGTAAACTAATGCGAACTTTACAATTAAATTATTAATTCCTTCGTATATTATTGGTTTAAGTTGTCGAAAATTAATATTTCAATTGTAAGGTTCGCATTAGCATACATTTATAAGAGTGGGGAAAAGTATATGCATTTTTTAATAGTTTTTTGAATATGGCTCTTTGAAGACGAAAAAGCAGACGAAAAGCATAGACTTACAAAATGACTGATAACTAAATAACTAATCAAAATTTTTGAAAAAGAAAAAAAGTACTTCTTCATTATGTCAAAACACAATTATGTGCCGAGTTTCGTGCCTGGGCGAAGCTTCTGGGGCGATATATTGTGATTACAGACAGACAGACACACACACAGCCGCATTTATTATTATGTATAGATGTATAGATGTATAGATGTATAGATGTATAGATATGAAAATGGGAGCAAATTTTTTTTCGCGGAGTCTCTTAAATTATAAAAATTCTTAATTATTAGATAAGAAAAAAAAATAATACATCTTAATAAGAAAATTATTAATAATAAGAAAATAAAGGCTTTATATTTTATACTATATTTTAATATTGATGCAGCCTTTTTAGTATTGCCTAATAGTTAAACTGTAATAAACTTATAACCATTTCAGACTTTTTATTAAAGAAAAGTTTATTTTACAGAGTACATTTGAAAACCATAGGCAGGGTTTAACTCTTACATTTTTTCTTTTCTTAATGTTTATCGATTAAAAAATGAAAATAAAAACAATTTTCATTTATCTGTTTTTGGGATTCTTACAAAGTCTTTTTTAAATAGGAAACGTGAAAAAAAATGATTAAAATTTAAAGCAAAAAATGCTAAAAACTATAAAATTACAAATTTTAAAGTGCTTTATTTTTTAAGTATTTTAAGAATAGTGTGCTTTAGTACAGTATCCTTTACTTAGGAGATGTATTTAAGAAATTGATAATGGAATGCGCTTTTAAGAATATATAGATAAGCTATATTTAATAGTTTTTCTGGAGCATGATTCCTGCAATGTTGTTAATGAGTTTTTTAATCGCATTGAGAAGTTTTCGGGTGAATATCCTGGAAATTTGGATTAAAACAGACAAACAACTGTATTAAAAATAATGTTTAATGTAAGATTGCCATCCTCAGAAAAAAAATTGGGTGCCATTGTTTTTCCCAAACATTTCAATTGAAATTATTGTATCAAGGCTTGGAAAATTTCGTGACTTAGAAGTTCTCAGTCGCATTCAGTTTACTTTGTAGTAGTATAAAATCCTGAAGTGAAATTTTTGGAGCAAAGCTTAAGTTCATATCCTTCATGAATATCTTAGCTTCATCTTCGTAATTCGTACACATAGTGTTATTCATACCGTTATCATTCAATGCTTGCAGAACGAGTTCCTTAGCTGTATTTCCACAATCTTCAGATACTGCTTCAATAAAACAGGTTACGTACATGATATCAAGGCTGTAAAAAGAAAAAAAAAGTAACTGATCAGTCGAAGGACTTATTTTTAAAATAGAAATCAACGCAAATGTTTCGAAATTTTCTACATCAAAAACTTGCAGAGGATATCCTTAAATGTGCGTAAGGTGTAGTATTAATGATAAAAACGTTATTTTAATTTAATTTTGTGATTTTTTTAAATTGATTGAAAAAGCATATAGCACAAATGTTAATGGAATTACAAATGAGGTAAAGTGGCCTCCTTTTTTTCTATTGACACATACGCAGCACTATTTTGTAGAGATTTTCAATAATCGTTTTGCACAATTGTGCCTGATACAATAATAATTTAGTACTCAATATCCTACTTCGAAACTTGTGTGATTTCGGGCTTGTTAGTATATTCAGTAAAAAACCGTAACAGAGCCAATTCTTATAGCAACCCTGTCGTTATAAGAAAATAATAATATTTAATGTTAAAAGAGCAATAAATAAGATTAAAAAAGACAACAGAAATTTATCTCGTTTCTTACTTTTATTCTGAGCAAGCATTTTTCATTTAAAATACATGCCTGTAATACTGTCAAGTTCCACGTAATTCTGAAAACAACACAAGTGTAAACCAAAGTTTGCGATAGGTAGCTTATAATACAAAATAGCAAGGCTCATAAAAAACCACAATTTTGAAACACGTTAATCCTCCTATTGCGCTTCAGAGTAGATAGACTTTGTCTACAGGCTGTAGCAGCTAGTAACTTTTACATTGTAAAAATTACTAGCTGCTAGTAATTTTTATACAGTTATTTAATATTTAGTTTTATAAAGTTATTTATTATACTGCTAATTATTTAATAATTGCTGGCAATTTTTACATTACTGCGCACTTCAGATTTTTTTTCTTCTTAAAAAAAAGATCCTATAGAAGAATTGAATTGAATGATCTACTTGAATGATCTATAGGCAATCGATTCCGTTCACCAAACCCAAAGAGTAAATGATAAAAATATAGCCTTAAAAACGAATTAATAGCATTAAAAAAACTGTCTCACTCTAACCCTGAACTGTCAATTGTCCCTCAGTCTTATTCTTTTCTTGGGAAATATGATAAAACACACATTGTACAAATGACGTCACTATGATCATCTGACGAATTCAAATGAATACAGTTCTCTCGATCAAATTCAAATGAATACAGTTCTCCAAAAATTAAAAATAAAATTAAGATCGTTAAAACATCATAAAGAACAGAAGCTGAAGTGGGCAAATGAGGTCATAACTTGAGAGGCTGTTTGGAAAATTCCTGTTTTTTCAGTCAAAAAGAAGCTTAGTTTGAATGTCTTGGGTGGTAATAATTACTACTGGCACTATTTATGAACAGAACCTTTCAATTTCTTCGATAAGAAGACGAATGGTAGCTTGGTATTGGTGTGGAAAGGTTTAGCGTATGATGATATATGTAAACTGCAGAGAATTTGTGGAAAAAACGAACTCTAGTTGTCCTCAACAACTATTTTAACGGCACCCTATACCCCTTTGTTCACATCCAGGATAGCCTGACAGGAAATTTAAGCAAGACAATGTGTATGCCATGTGTCCCAATCAACCAAAAATTGGTTTCAGAATGAAACAATTGAGGTCCTAAGCTAGCCAAGCCATAGTCCTGGTTTTAATCCAAAAGAAAACTTCTAGGGCTACTTGGCTAGACTTGGATGAATGGGACAAAATTCTTTAAACTTTGTTTGAAAATTTCGTTATTGATCAGGTAATTGAAGTTATCCAGAAAAAGTTATATTAAGATACTTTTAGTTTTATAAAATAAAAAAAATTTCAATTTTGTAACAGATATTTTTGGAGGGAAATTTTGATGTCATTAACAAAGTGTTTATATTTAAACAAATCTCTTGAAAATTATTTGCATATATTTTGTTTTTCACTAATTTTCAATAGTTTAACTTAATTCGGAAAAATTATTATTCTTTAAGTTAATAATCACAAAAACCATAATTAATTTCCTACTCGGTAGCGTCACTTTAATAATATTTAATTGTTAGAAAGGTTTTTCCAAGCGTTACGGTTTCCCCTAATTTTAACGCTATCGCAATTTGAGCTTCACAGTTCATGCGCCAAAATTTCTCAACAAAGCACAGAATCACTTAGGAAAACAAGTTTAGCTCTGTTCTAAACGTATGATAAAGTGCTATGCAAAATCTCTCGATTTGCTTTCGCTTATAACGCTATCTAGATCTTTTTGCTGCCACAAATGTATACTTACAAACACTGTTTCTTCTTATCATCATTTCCATTTGACACAAAAAATATTTCGTCGTATTTCTCTGGGTCTCTACTGCGTATATTGCTTTGGCATTTATCAAGGCGAGCATCAATCAAGGCTGAGGGAAATGTGCTAAAGCATTCCCCATTTTCGACAAGAGCTACAATTATAAACAAATTCTTGATTATAAAAACTGCTTTGTAAAAATAAAATAAAAATTATTTAAGAAAGAAAAACATTGTATACAATAATTGCATACTACATTTTGAATTAAATACTACATTGTTGTCTAAGGTAATTTGATCCATGTGTTACTATAAGAAATGCTTACATTAAAAAAACGATTAAATGAAAAAATTAAATTAAGTATCATATTTTGCTTATAGTTAAAAATAAATTCCATTCTATTCGAAGTTAGAGGTTATAAAAGTTTTTACTCTAACAACATAATTTTGTGCCCTTCTTAGGGGAGGGGGAGAATATTAAAGTCTGCATGTTTTGCCAGTTGAAACACGGCGATGTTTCTTTACTCCTCTCTTATTTTTTCTCGCAATCAAGCTGGTTTTTATACTTTTAATTTCGCATAATTCGTTATATTTCATTATTATTTTTGTATTTTCTTTTTGAAAACATTAACTTTAAAGCGTAATGAAATTTTTTGTGGAATTTGTTAGAGGATTGTAAAAAATTTATATTAAGAATGGTCATGGCAGTAAGCTAAAAAATGCGAAAATAAGAAGCAATTAAATTGTTAATTTCTTACAGTTAAACAAAACTGAACCTTCTTCACAGAATTTATTAAGAGTTCTCATGTCTGCATGGAGTCCATAGATATTCCAAGTTTCCTTTCCACATTCGTTTTCGTAATCAATCAAGCACTGGCGATGCACAAGGTGTTCTCTGAAAATGAACACTTATTGTACACTCAAATTATTATAATTTTATTTATTTATCGAGGCCTAAAGAATCAAGTTAATACAATAAAGTAATCAACAAATCAGTTGATTGAATCAATTATCAATCTATTAAATAACTATAATCATGAAATGACACAAAGGAACACACGGTTTGAACAATTACTGCAATTCAAGGGAAATTATGAGATTTAAATTAGAATATTATTTCAAAGAAAAAGGAAAATTTTGAACTTCAACAATTCGATTCGTTTGAAGAACTCAAAAAAACGCATTTGAAATGCGTTTGCGTCCGCGACTACACAAATGATTCAGAATGTATGGCATGAAAGAGATACCGCTAGATGTTGTTCGTGAGACCAAAGGATGTCACATAGAAGATTTGTGACACGTGTATACGTAATTTTGAAGTTCCTTCTACATTCTGTGTAAATTTTATAGATAAATTATTTTTCATTAAATGGTTATAACCATTCATAATCGCTATATTTATTTTGAATTACCCCGTAGTAAAGCAAAGAGCAAAGACAACGTTTTAAAAGGCTATAAATCAACACAACATGGTAATAAAAAATCTGTTGTATTGGCAGATAAAAAAAATCTGCCAGCTGGTGTGCTAGTATAAACCGTTCACTTCACAAAAAAGGGTTGCAATTTAGCAGATAAGTACTGTTATTTAAACATATAAATTCCGTTATTTTATTAATAAATTCTATAAAACAACTATGTCGGCATTACAGTCAGTGCGAGCTGAGAGCAGCATTCGCACGACCAGTCGACCCTGTTATTCGAACCAGGTCGCCTCATGTACAGGCGCGAGAGCTCTTTCCTCAGAGCAACCGCAGCTCAGCTAGCTCAGTATGGAGAAAAGTTTTCAGCTATTTTTATTTTAGAAGTCTTACTTATTTAAATATTATTTAAATCTAAAAACGTTTAAGACTATAGTTGCCCACCTGTATAAAATTGTCTGTCAGCTTATAAAAAATTATATATAAAAATTATAATAATAAGATAAGTTTTAATTTGACAATAAAATCGAATTACAGTTTTATTGGTACGATGTTCAAAACCATAAAATAACTGTCGCAAAATCAGAGTAAAATAGTGAAATTTGAAAAAGAAAACTTGAGTTATCGTACAGTAAGTAAAAATGCAGGGTAAGAACCAGTATCTGAAAGAACATTTTCAGATCTTTTATGATAAAGATTAAAAAGCAGAAAAAAACGAAACTGCTTAAAACCATCAAATGATCACAAAAAGTCTGTGAAAAGAACGGGAATTTGTTTTACAATATAACATGGTGCTACTCTTAGCTCAGAAATTAACTTTCTATCTCCTACTAACAAAACAGAACACGAATTTTTCCCTGAAATTTTGAAATTTTGCGTTTGACAGTGCATTTGATAGAGAGAAGTTAAACTCATAGTTTTTTAGTTAAACTATGAAAAACTAAGCATAATTTATTTCCTTATTAAAATATTCATTTATAAAAGCAAATCGAAATATCATTTATTTCCTTACGAGCATCGTGTCAGTAGCTGGTTAGAAGTTACTGGAAATGGATCATATAAATAATCAGGTCGTCGACATCTTTCATTAAAACTGAGAGAACAGAAATCTTCTGGCATGCCAAACTTGCAGCATATTACAGCTAAAAGAAAAAAATGCTTTTTATGGTTCATTTATGACAATTCTTGATAGATAAATGTGGTCAAAAAATACATATTAGGAACTACAAAAGAAATTTTGAAATAAAATAGAGGAGAAAAACACTACCAAAATAACTACTAAGTTGGATGGAGCGGAAAAATAAAAACCAGCTTCTGCAGAAGGGATCGCTCCCCTGCTTTGGTAGAACGATGACCTGTGCATGAAGTCTAGCACTTTACGGTAGAACAGTTTAACGAGGACCGATACAGCGCACCCTCGGTTTCGACGTAGGCTGATCAAAGTGGTCACCCACCCGCTTACTAACCACAGCCAGCGATGCTTGACTTCAGTGTTCCAGAACCCAGTGTTTATGATCAATCCAATGCGGGATGTCGTTATCTTCTGAAAACCGTGTCTTACGAATCAATTCAGTCTACTGTGGGACCTGCAATTCAGTAATAAGATGCTGCAATAAAATAAAAAATTCAATCTAGGTTTAGCAAACAATATTTTCAGTTGAACTTCTTAAGAGTGAGAAGAACAGTTTTTATGCCGCAATCTGCTGGTTTAAAATGCTTAAATGGTGTTAGAATGGTGAATTGTTTTTATTTATTTTTATTATAAATTCAGAATTTCTGCTAATGTTAGGAAACTGTAGAAGCTAGTTGCAAACTGTTCAACTAATTTTAAAATACAATAAGTGCTAAAGCTGTTGCAAATTTTTATTTTACTAACAAATATTTAATAAAAAATAGGAGATAAGCATAAAACGAAATATAAAATTAAAAAAAGAGGGAGAGCAGCAGAGAGTAAAATTCATGAAACTTTTTAAACAATCATCAACAATTTAGGAATCTGTTGGTATTTATGTTATCCACTATACCATATTTATAGTGCTACTCATTCAAATAACAGTTTCATTGAATCGGGTAAATTGAATCACGAGGAAAAGTTGTTATCATTCTGAATAACCTACTATGAGGAAAAGTGAACCGGAAAAAAAATTATCACTCTGAATAACTATAACAATTTAATGATCACATTTTCCGAATCTCAGTGATTCAAAGGGTTGATATCAAATATGCTAACAAATATGTGCTAACTATGAACTAAATGGCGAATTTAGACACGAACATGTACCTTTTTTTCTACAAACAAACAATTTTGCGACATATATAAACGATGATCATGGAAACTTAGGTCAGTCGCAATCTAGTACATATGGTTGCAATATTTTAGTTAGAAATAAAAAATTTTAAATTCGACACTTTTGAAATTTAATAACTAAAGAACAATTTGACCACTTTTGAAATATCAGATTTGTCATTTAAAATTACATTACTTAAAATGATGCAAAAATTCAAAAATTACAATTTCTACTTTGCACTCGCACTTTACAATTGTCCAGTCATTATAAAATGAAATATATATATATANTCTACATTAGTTTAGCTATTTAATATAAAACTTAATTTTATTTCAAATCGTAGGGGAGAATATATATATATATATAGAATAGCACAAGAATTTTAAAAAATGAAAAAAGAAGTCTTAAAAGGATGAAATAGGGCAATATTTCTATACCTATAACCTAATAATATAGTGGATCTTTGGAATTGGTCTTTTTGTTTCTGATGCAAGAAGTCTAGATTTTTGCATGCGAGCTATATATGCATACAGAAAATACCTTGATATACCAAGTCTTAAAATAAAATATTTAAAAACTATAACAATTTAAATCAAATCTAATCTGGTCTAAAAAAATTCCCTTATACATTTCCCTTAAATGAAATAGTTTCAATATTTTTTTTAAAAAATTTTCATAGATACAATTGAAAAAATTTGTCTTTTTAAATAGTCAGTCACAGCAAGCCAGCAAAAAAATTAAAAAGCACTACAAATGCTTTCTTTTTTAAGCACTAAGAAAAGTATGAACTTATGCTACAAGGAGGACACATATATAAAAGCTTACCAAAGCATAAAAATGTGATGAAAGCATTATTTCCGAACATCTTCTTTAGTTGTCAAAATTGAAGGCGTTTGTTTTTCTTTCAATTAGGAAGCACGTAATATCAATACTAAATTGAATTTAGATGATATTTAAAAACGGTTAGATTCTTAGTATTTTCTCACTTGACAAACCAGATAATTTTGAGTTGACCTTCCATGTTTTGCGTGATATACCATAATTTTCTGTGCATGACACTTTCCTTGTTACATTTTATTACGTGACATCAAAATGACGTTTACATGCTGGACTAACTCTTCAGTCAAACTGTCAAGATGTTTTTTGATAGGGTTGAAAGCAGAAGGTCATGGCTGACAAAATATATACACAACGTATATCCTTGTTTGTTGAGTTTCAACATACAAAGTTCAGTTGTTCATTTTTAGAGAGAATCTTTTTTCATATGAGTGTAAATAAACGCGATTGACAGCGCGGAAATGCGCATTAGTGAAAAATAGAATACTTACATAACTTATGATCTAAGGAAAATTTAAAAATTCTTCTAATAGTTGTCTTTTATCTCTTATCAGTCTGTAATCTCTATTACGTTTTTGTTTTTCCCCCTGCTAAACATTAACCCTTTGTAACTCAACAACTCTGATTTAAGAAATATTTACGTGGGTGATAGAATACATCATATTAAGCGTGTTAAAAATAATGAAAAAATTAAAACCCTAAAATTAAAAATTTATTGATAAAAAGCATTTGTTGAACATCTCCAATATCGTGAAAAATAGCACAAAAATTCCAATATATTTAAAACTTCATGTGAAAAATTTTGAAATTGTTGTTTTTATTGTAACAAGGTCTCACACCACATTTTTCAATCTCTCCAGCCAAATATACAATCAAGGGGATTGTTGCAAAAAAAATTGTATATCCTGCAATTATATCGTGGAACAATTCTTACTAAACGCATTATAATATTGGCAGCTGCACCAAGACTTGGTTCCCCCGAGTTTGCAATAGTTTCTTTACCTGAATTTAGTTCGATTTTATAGGTAAATCCACCTCATTATAGGATTGAATTTTCATGTATGTTGCAGATATGTAACGCGGTGATACAAAGGGTTAACTAGCTATCAGTGTTATATACAGAATTTCCAACTCTTTTTTGATAAGAATTACAAGCATTTATTTTAAGAACAGTAATTATGAATATAAGCAGCCGTTTGGTATATAAGCAGCCGTTTGTACCGAGTTACTTCAGCCTTCGGTAGTTAGCAGCTGGAATACGGACCGCTAGATGTAACGGTGTTCCCCTAGCGAAACATTGTTTATCCATCTGAATATACCAATAGTACGAATTATTTTAGTCCATATTTAACTCTTTACAGTGTCATTGTTTCTAGTAATAATATGTTTAAATGTTTTTGGAAGTGAGATTTTATAAAACGAAATCCATTTCAATTGTTACCTAAAAATAATATGATTTCTTAGACCCTTTGTTTTTCGAGTGAAGGAGGTTAGTAGTTTCAAAAGTGTTTTTAATGTAAAGTATTTGCCATAAATTTGAAGTTCTGTGCTTATAAATAGCCAAATTTATAAAGTATGCCTTAAAAAATACAAACGATAAAATAAACGAACACATGACGCACGAAAGAAAATAATTCCCCACTCTTGGCCTCCATTTTTGACAAAATGCTGACCTTTACTGTCACTAACATTTGATTTAAAAAATCCCCTTTCTTTGGTACATATTTTGTTTTATATTTTCTGAAGAAATCAGTGGAATAGTTTTATTTCTTTACATTCGCTGTTGAACAGCCGACCCAATTTTGGGTTACGACTACTAATGTTCAACTCTGTAGCCTTGTAATTATGAACCTAATCCAGAAGAGAAGGGAACTCCTGGATCAAGTATTGAGAGAAATCTGCCTTCGTGGCGGACTTCTTGATGGAACTAACCCACATTTGCGTTACAATAGAGAGTAAGACCCCGAGAGTCTCCCACGGTTAGCCTGACGACAAAGCGACTCTAACTCATGATCTGTCTACCATTGAGGACATTTCGTAGTCGATGCAGACCGGATGCGGATTCCTATCGACCAGCCAGCCCTGGGATTCAAACCCGGATCATCTCATTCGAAAGCGAAAGTTCTATTCCCTGAGTCATCACATCTCTAGCGTAGTAGTTTGTGATTTTGCCTATCAGTGTGTGTTTCTCGGTCCTATAGGCTTCATAACCAATTATTCTAGCATCCTGAAATTTTAACAGTGCGTTCGATATTAGCCCACGATCCTGAAAATCGTTCGGAAATTTCAGTTGTATCATTCGGGAGAGACGTTGAGAATTGAAATATTTTCATTGTTTCCATTGTGCTCTAACGAAATTTCTTATAAGACATATGGTGTTTATTAGCTAGTTTTAAAAGAAAAAGGCAGTTTTTAATTGAACCTTGCAGAAAATTTCTTTATACCCATATAAAAACCATAGTTTTGAATAAAGAGTATTCGCTAAATATGAATGCTAAGAGCATTTGTGCTTTACGAAAGGCAACCGCAATAAATTTTGTCCCGGAGCCTCTAAAACCTTTGTTCAACTTTGGGAGTAGTTATCTTCTTCCTCCGCTGCACTGCAGCTTTTGTGGGTCCTGCACCGACTCACGTCAAGGAGGTGGGGACAAGTCTGGATAGTACCCGGTGTTACCCCAGGAGCAGAGCATATCGAAACTCCATAGAACAGTGCTATTAAATTAAATTCTTATTGTTTGTCATAGCATGAATCTTTAGTAAACATATAATAAAATAGACAAAACAAATTTAATTTCTGTAACTGATATGACCAAAAAATAAGGAAAGTTTAAAAACAACAGAACGTTAGGGTTGTTCAGTGCTGATTTATTAATTATTTACTTTTGCTTTCGCCCCGTACAAAGGACGGGTATTCAGTTAGAAATAAATAAATCGGTATTAATTAACACTATTAAATCATTCGCAGAACTAAAAGACATATTCCGACAAAACTAACTATGTACTGGACGAATTCCAATTTTCTGTTCTGCAGCTATTTGTTGCCCTTCCCGGGGAATTCAAATTATTAAATTGAGCAAAAGATACATTTAAAACTTTATTCCATAAAATAAAGATTAATTATATTCAATATCATTTGTTATAATGCTATTGCTCGAGGTCAACGCCCAATAATAAAAATTTATAATAAACAACAATTTTTTCCGTTATTTATTCCTTTCAATGGGTAGGTCGTTGAAACCTATCTCCACTGTATTTATAGTAGGCATCTTAATACCGACATTATTATTCATATTTAGTACCTATTAAATCACTAATTAGCACAATATCATTAGTAACTGTTACTAAAATTAATTAAGCATCATTAGCGTCAACAAGAAAATGACATATTTTGTAAGGTTCTCATATATAAATACTTTTCTACATTAGTTTAGCTATTTAATATAAAACTTAATTTTATTTCAAATCGTAGGGGAGAGTCGGGTAGCCCCGCCCACAGCCAATTTCTTATGTACAGAATATTTTTTCAGGTCAATGGGCCATCGGGCATTAATTGTTATATTAAAGAAAGATTATTTTCAAATTTTCAAGTATTTATGCAGCTGGTAACATGGTAAACAATAGTTTTGAAAATATGTTGAATACAGTAGTCATGAAATTAAGAAAAATTGGTTGAATGTTTCGAATAAACTTCATTTTAATTTAAAAAAATAATTTTTTCTATACATAGAGCATTAAAGTATGTAGTCTTATGTTTAATTTGCACAGAGAAAGAAGTTTGTATGTAAAAAATTGTTCGAGTAATTACAAATTTACAAAACAATTGGATTTCGGGTGGCCCCGCTCGCATACATGTCAGGTATCACCGCCCAATTTTATTTCGTCGATAAATGTACGGTTGCAAAGATTATTATTTTTATGCTTCAAATTTGATTGTTATATGCATTTTTAACAACAAATATATGTTTTAATATTATATGAAGCTTAAATTTATATATTTAAAAACGAAAAATTAAATATTTTTAAAATGTAATTGATATATCCAAATTAAATTTAATATCAAGAAATCATAAATATTATGATAAGCTATTTGCTTACTTATTTATTTTCACTTATTTGTGAACGAATCAATCTACAGAGGCATTTGAATGCAATCAAAATACAAAGTGAATGTGTAATTTTATAAGAAGTATTTTATATTAAGTTTATAAGAAGAGATCAACCAAATAAGTTTATATTGAAAAACAACTATTGTTATTAATTATTGTTGCTTACATTAAATTACTTTCGTTAAATATTTAATATAAATATATATTAATATTATAATATATTAATATACATTAATAATGATAAAAAGTATAACATTTGTTGTTATTAAATGATAGAATTCACCAAAAGTATATAAATATGCAATAAATAAAATAATTTTGTGATAAAAATGATAAATGAGGTTTATCTATTGTCAATACATTGGTCATTCTCATTTACACCTGAAAAAATAGCCAAAAAACACAATTTTTGTAACTGGGCGGGGATACCCGACACATTTTGAAAGGAACTGAAAAATATGTTTTTTTAAATTTCTATTTTTTTAAGTTTAACTATTCTTTTTTTGGTTTATTCTTTTTACATTATTTAATTAGATGATAAAACAATAGAAACATACAAAAATGTTGATTATTACTCAGTATTATACAGAAATATAAGCAATACTCCTTAAGTGAGCGGGGCTACCCGACTCTCCCCTACCTATTACCAAAATTAATTAAATAGAATTCTCGAATATAACTAACAAGGACGCGAATATTTTTATAAGCTTTTTTTGGCAAACGAAGTATTATAGGTACATATTTCGAAGGCCGTAAAAAATCGTCAAACTTTTATTCCAGATATGCTTGATTAAATTTGGTATTAAATACTACTGGTATTGCCGTTATGAGTGCTGTGGCAATGAGAACATTTTTTAATCAATGTAGGTGCCTAATATAGACACTATAGTAATAGGTTTCTTAAGTTCCCTAATATCACCATGATACACATTCCTAACACAGATGCTTTATTATTTGTTACATATTGCAATGCAGGTTCACAAAATTCAAATTACAATAACATGAGTTGGAAGTTCAGTTCAAAAAAATTGGATATAGTATCAATTAAATTGTGATAACCAGAACTTACCAAAACTTTTTCTTGCCTTATTACATAACTTCAATTTTATTTTATTAGTTCTTACTGAGTTTCCATTACTTAAATTATAGAGGCAAGTTTTAAAGCGTAAATATACATTTGAAAAACATGTGGCTTCATATACCTTTTTAAAATACAAATTCGGTGACCACTCGCCACGAAATTATTAACGTTGATTTTATTTATTTATTTTTATTTTTTATTTTATAACCGCCGTTGAACAGTTATTTCAGAATTTTCCGCTTACGGCTACCAATACTCCACTTTACTAAGCCTTCTAATTTTGAACCCAATCCAGAGGATAAATGGAGGTCTTTTTAATGGAACTAAACCGCATTTGCGCTACATGGAGAGGAAAATCACTAGAGCTTCCTACGGTTAGCCTGACGGGAAGAGGACTCTAACTCATGATCCGTCTACCACTGAGGATATTTTACGTCAGCACTGAGGTCGGTGCTAGCCGGATGGCAATTCGAATCAGTCAGCCATTGCCGAGATTCGAACCCGGTTCACCTCATTGGGAGGTGAGTGCTCTATCCCATGAGCCACCATGGTTGATTTCAATTCTGATCTCCTAGTATAGAAAACCAACCATAATTAATTCATCTAAAATTCAATAACTTATAACGAAGTTTTTATTAATTATTCATTACTCATATTATAAAATTGTTATACAAATCCTACAGAAAACTCTTTCTATTGAATGTACTGCGTGAAATAGTAGTCAGAGTATTAAAATAGACAGATAAGTCCGCCGTGTCTTCGAACATATTTATGCTCTTGGCCAGTAAAGAATATTGGAATGTATATTAGGTATTGATTGGCTAGGAAATGTGAATTTGTGTATGGTAAGTAATTATGTACAAAATTTCTGCTTTTTTTTTACAGATTTTACACGTGTGACAATTTTTTTAGTTTTTTATGTTTTATTTGTGCTGAAATTGAGGTAGTATTAAAAGTAGGTTTCTGGAAGTTTCCTCAGACTCCGTTCTCAAGAAGACTTATGAAATCCTCAAGTGAATATTTTGGATTCAAGTTGAAATCTAATTCTTCCATGAAAAGTTCGGCTTTTTTCGGAAAATGCTTGCACACCGTATAATATTGCATTTTGTTGAGTTTCAAGGCTTGCAACATTAATTCTTTAGCAGTCTCTCCACAGTCTTCTGATATTACATCAGCTAGGCATTTCATGTACTCGAGATCATAGCTGAAAAAAAGGGTTGAAATTAATGGTGATTTATTTGCTGAAACAGGGTGTATGACTACCCTTAATATGGCTTTACTAAATTCATGTCAATAATAAAGTGAAAAACATATTTCTTGTCTTTACTTTAATATTAATTTGCGAAGCTCAAAAGTGTGTTTCAAACTGCTTTTGATGCAGATTAGAGAGTTACTGCAATCAATATTTTTACAACCGCTTACATTTGGAATGATAAAAGGAAGAATTATTAAATATTTTCCATTAAAGGAAACGAAGGAAATAAAATTAAAAATTTAAAAAATTAGTTTAATTTTTAAAAATTTAGTTTTTTTACAGTTGGTTAGGATCAAAAATATTTGCATTATTGCAAATTGAAAGTTGAAAGTTTGAGTTTGAAGTTGAAAGTTTTAGGGAAGTTGTGAATAATTTTTTGAATAATTTAAGTAATAATGATTTTCCTTTTAATTTTTGTAAAGTTAATTTTTTAATTGAGAAAATGATTGAAGTATTCTAGGTTTTTATATATATTTTTTCTTTCAACAGGGTGCAATTCAAGTCTTAACTGAGCAGCCCCAGTTAAGCATTCTATTAATTTGTTACGTATTTCTTTCTCTTGACTTCTTTTATTTTATTTTCTATCTGCGCATTGTAATAGAGGGCGTTTGTTCTCTAGTTTTTAGTGTTTCCTTTTCATTCGGCTTGTTTGTGAAATCGATGTTTGACCTGGTTAAGTGAGTTTTTATTTTCTGATGATTTTGTTTGAGTTTCTTTTCTAAATTGGTTATGCGTATTTCCTACTATTTGTTTTTTCCTGGACTTCTATACAAAATCATCGGGGTACTGAGGGAGTTAATTTAGGCATTTGCTTCTCCCTCAATTAGAAGTGGTTTTGTTTCATAGCTACCGGGGCCGGTACCCCCTGAAGACGTCGGCTTCGGTGGTCATATTTTTATTTTTATTTCCTTCGTTTCCTTTATTGCTACTTTTTTTGAAATTTCTGCTGCTTTTACCGCGTTTATTTCAAAGAAGTTTTATCTATTTAGAATTTAAAAAAATTGTTTTCTTTTAGTACAGTAAATATTTTCATCTAATTTTCAAATTTGTACAAAAAGAAGATTCGTGATCCCCAAAATATTTTGCCAACAGTCGAAAGCTTCGTCTTAAGAAAACTTGATAAGTATCGTTTTGAAGAAAAGCATTTAAACTTCAATATGGAAGAAAACCTAGGACAAATCTGATAAATGAAATCGGTTTGAAAGTGAAAATATACAAAAAAAGTAATAAAAAATAGGTTTGATAGTTTTATTAGAAACTAAAGATTCTTGAATCGTGGTCTAAAATTACCCTTCTTAATTTCAAGATCATGGCAAGAACATTTCAGACAGATACATTTATTAGATGTTGTTGTCGTCAGCCATTAAGGCAGAGGGGTGTGATTGTTCTAGTTTTCCAGTTATATTGATCGTTATATTACTAGTTATATTATCGGACAAGAATTCAACTTCTGCCACACAGATACGTCACAACCGTTCAAAGGGCGGACCCATTCAAACATCCATTCATTCGTCCACACATCGTAGTTTTGACCTGAACCAAAGAACAATCAATCTCCAATTCAGTACCGCCAGAGGAATTGATTTGTTATAGAGACATGGAGGACTTTGTGACCCTACAGATTTGGCGCGCCAGTCATCATTTATTACACGAGGGGTCTTTTGCCGGCTCGATTCGAAATTCTGCTTCCAACCCGGTAATCCCGGCCTACATTTATTAGATAAATTTATTTTTCCGAATTAAAACTTTATAAAGAAACTAGCAATTACGTTTAATTATAAATATATCATATTAAAATTTTGCATGCTTACAAGCAGAATTCTATTCCATAATCTTCCGGATATGGTCGACTGTATACCTGTACATACTTTTCTCTGTCTTTAAAAATAATTTCATCATCTCGGCATTTATCAATCCGATTCTCTGTCTCCCTTCCATAAAATTGATAAAATTCATTGAAACATTTCATTCTATCTGCCAATGCTGCAATATTAATTGTTTACTTAAGTTATTAAACGCGCAAACAATTTTCCTTATAAAAATTATATTTTCGATATTTATGAAAATAAAAAATTGATTTAAGTTTTGTCATTGCATGATACTTGAGCCACAGCAAAATATATGAGGATGTTCTATTTTAATGTAAATTGCCGTATTTTTATTCAAAGCGAGGAAAAATGGCAACACTTTCCGTTTTAGTGATCTGATGTGGAATTATTACGCTAAACTACTGGTTTTAGATGAGGTTTTCTTGTTTACTATTATTTTTGATTGCATTTATTAAATTATCTTTAATAATTCTCTTTAATTTAAGTTTTTTTCATTTTTCATACTTGGATAGTTTTCTTTGAGGATGTCATGTGTTAGTGAAGACTGTTAGTCTCGTTTTCTCAAAGTACCTTTAGTAAATTACGATTTGATTTAAATGTTTTTCATTTCGCTCCGTAATTCGTGTGCTAAAATTTATTTCTATGTTAAATGAAATTCACGTTTATATGATTGATGTGCACCTTTAATATTCTTAATAAAATAAAAAAAGAATAAATAGAACATGCGTTATTCCATATAATTATCAGATAATCAAATATCAAATAACTTGCTTTTTAATGAATTATGGTTTTTCTTTTCTTTCTTTATCAGTTTAGAAGGCCTCATTTAGTATAATTAAATAAAAAGGATTAAATAATATCATTTCAATGAAACTATTTTTGAATAATACAAAAAAAACTAGGAAAATTTAAGTTCATTAGAAAGCTTAATGTTTTTACACAATTGCGTAGAGTTTTCAAAATATTTTAATTGGCGTATCTGAATCTCAATTCACTATTTTTTATGGAAATCAAGCAAATAAAAAACTCAACTTTAAAATTGCAAATAGTACTGCAAGAATTGATAGAAAATAAGTAGATAAGTAAAAAAAATTATCTCACTAAATCAACCATAAGTATTATTCTTTCATGACATAAGCTTATAACTTAAAGCAGATACGAAGTTATGGTGCTGCTATATTACGTCTAATTATAAAATCTTCACTCAACAACAAGATCACAGTTCCTTTTTTGTGTTTTTTATCCTTTAAAGGTCATTGTAGGAATCGGTCAGAAAGACATAGACAACGCTTTTTTTAAAACTCTTTTCCCCTTTGTATGTTAAGTTTCTCAAACAACATTTTATTGATGATGAAGTGCAATATTTTTAGATTCAATCTAGATATAAAAGTTAGTTTTTGAAAGCTTAATTCAAACCTCTTTGAGCTGTAGCAAGCATAGTTAAATTTGACATTGTTTCAAATTTCCATGGTACATTTGCTAATAATTTATTCGCCTTGTCAGGATTTGATGATAAAGGTTACTGCTTCATTAAAATAAACCCTACAATGTTATCTGTGTTACTTTTCAGTGTCACAAAGTGAAAATAAAAAATACGCGTCGCCTATCTCTATGCCTTGAATTACTAAAGCATGAAAGTGAAGAAAAAAAAACATTTAACTCAACTAAATAAACTGAAAATGAATAAAAAGCAAATGAAAAACAAATGGAAAAGAATGCAATAGTTAAAATTCTTACCCTGGAACAAAACAGAATTTTCGTTGCAAAATGTATTCAGAGTTTCAAGGTCTTCAGGGAGTGACATTCCCCCAATTTTCTCATTACATTTTTTTTCGTAATCAATTGAACACTCTCTGTACTTTATATGTTCCCTGAAATTTTAGAATAATAATATTATGTTTGTTCTACTTTATCAACATACTACTCAATGTAGCACACGTGGTATATGCAGAAACTTTTGCTAATTATATAACATTTGAAGCATTTTTAAATTACCAGAAATAATAAAAAGGACAAGTATTTTAAATAATAGCTGAAATGTTTCAAATTAATTAATCTAGATTATTAAAAACTTAAAACTAATGCAATTCAACAAAAATAATTTAAAATGACTCATATAAAAATGGCAAAACAAATTCAGAAAGTCTGCAACTATTAATTAATGATGGAAGAAACGTAGCAAATTAATTGAACTTAAAAATGTTTACAATGTTACGAAATTAGTTCAGAATGTCACAAAAAAGTTTAAAAGCAATTTAATAAGTCCTCTCGATAAATGAATTGAAAAAACGCTCAAAAATATCTAACATTTAAACTATTTTAATTGTTGCAATTCAGAATGTCCAATAAAATGAGTATGGCAGCGTTTCAGAATATGATGTTGCAACTTTTTTCAAACGACGGATCTTAAATTAGAGATGAATAAAAAAAAGACTCTATAAAATTAACATTTAGAGAAATATGGAGTTTAACATTTAAAACATCAAAACCTGTTTTTTTTTGTGATTACTAGACTTAGACTTAAATTTCCAAAAATCTCCTTACAACATCTTTTTGTTTTTTCTAGCAATCAAATAATGTTTCACGTTTTAATTTAGCCCAACTTATAAGGATTCATTCGATTTTAATAGTCTTCACTTAGAGGAAATATAGTTTATTCGTGAGGAATCAAAAATCGAAATGGATCAACATCTAAAAGAAAATATTTTGCATCTATTATAATTTACTTTTAGAATAGTTAAATAAAATATTACTAGTTAGTAAATGATTCAATTTTCTTACTTGCATTTTGCACTCAAATTAGCAGAATTTTCTAGAACATCATGGAAGAAATCACCAGGATCTTGACATAAAGCTCTATAGTTACTTAAGCACATAGCTTTGTTTATTCCATAACTATCTGAGACATCTAAATATATATATATATATATATATATATATATTGGACATTAAGAAAATTACAATGCCCATCCATAAAAAATGTAATTTTCTTAAAAATAGTAAGTGCATTTAAAACTATATCTTTTAGCCAGCTGCAAATTAAATATATACAATCTAGATAAAGGTAAAAACAGTTGAAATTTTACAAGAAAGGTTCACGATGCTAAATCTTTGCACCACAGCCAGCTGTTAGCCTTGGCCGTCTGAGCAGTTTATTCCATACCAATGCATAACATGCGCTAATTTACTGCACTAATTTACTCCTATACAACTTATCCACTTCTATGTTATGTTTTCTAAATTTGTTGCACTAAATCAAACTAATTCTACGCTTTAATATACTAGTAAAATAAAGTATTTCCAATATCATACTTTCGAATTTCTCCNTTTTGAATTATTCTCAAGAATAGCTTATCATTATATTGCCCCAAGTTCTTCATTTCAGAAACATTCTCTTAAATAGAAAATTTGCAATTGAAACAAAACAAAGTAGATGATATTTATATATATATATATATATATATATATATATATGAAGAGAGAGATTAATGAAAACCGCATCAAATTTTTGTGTAATGTGAAAAAATAAATGAATAAAACGCCCAGTATAACATATCATGATAAAATTAAGAAATTCCTGCTTACTTTTCACTTTAATTTGATTCTTCAAGGAAGCTATTGTAGCCTAACCTAAGTTGTAACATAGGACCTAAAACAGTGTTTTAATTGAAGCAGAATATGATTGAAAATAATATAATTTTTTATATAATTGAACGACTTAGGGTAATGTATTGATAGGGTAATGGATCGACTTAGGGTAATGTGGATAAAATATGCGAATTTTATGGAAAGCATTGCTCTTTACATGTAGGCAAGATATCTCTGCATATTGCAGCTGGCGAAAATTTTGGACGTACGTATCAGGAGAGACTGCTATATACACTGCTATAACTTTGCTATCAGTACGTTCATACGTATCAGGGAAAACTGCGTTATACAATGTTATGCATGCACAAATTAATATATCAGCCTGGTTGATTGGCGAAAATATTATATTTCGATTATTACTCACCAAATTTGTTGTAACTTCATATCTTAAATTTTAAGTGTTATTTAAAACAAATTATAACTAAGCAAAACTATTTGACTACACTAATATACCTTAATAGAATCATATCGAAAATACGATCATGCGAGATGTTTCCTATTATTTATTATATATTTTGAGTATATATTCTGGTTCTATGACTTCTTAGTTTTTGCAGCTTGGTCCTTCTTAAGAAAAAACAAAAAAGAAAAATAGCGAAAACAAAACAAAACAAAAAACTATAAAAAGGGGGGACGTTAAAGAAGTAAAAATGTTTGTACTCACTTTCAAAGAGAGCAACAAATTCTTCCTTTGACGTTTCTGGCTCAAATGTAAATTCTAAATTTTCCATTTTCTCCATAGCCTCTTCTGTTTGATTCAAACAAAATGTTTTCCAGAATCCCACCCCATTGATGAAATGCAGTGCCATTTCCGTAGCCATTTTTCCACACATTCTCGATATTTTATCAATTACGCAAATTGTATTTGTAATGTCATAGCTAAAATGCATTAAAAAGTAAAATATTATGTAAATTATCGCTTGGCTAATAAGAAAGTTTTTAATCCTTTAATGAAAAAAATAAAGAAAGAAATGGTTTCTTTACAAAATTAACACTTACAAAAATGTCCCTTCCTGTTTTTATTTTGTTTTCTTTGAAGTAACTAAAAATTTCAGCTTTAAAATATTGTTTATTCACTTGAAATCTATGTCAAATGCTAATTCACTTGAAGTTTGTTAACGTTTAAGCGTGTAGTTACAATAAAATAACTCAATCTGCTCACACTATTGAAACATGTTTTAAAATAACAATTTTAAGGTATAAATTAAATAGACTGTTAAAATGCAATCTTCAATCTAACATAAGTTTTTTAAAGTCATAAATTGTCTAATAAATTCAAACCAATCGTATTCCAAGCGAGTTATATTTTATTTTGTAACAGTCGTTGTGAACAGCAGATCCAATTTTTTGGGTTTACGACTACTACAGTTCAACTCCGTAACTTCGTAATTTTGAATTCAATCCGGAAGACAAGAATACTCCTGAATCAAGTATTTGGAGAAATTTGAATTTGTGGAGGACTTTTTGATGAACTAACCCGAATTTGCGTTACATGGAGAGGAAAGCCACGAAAATTTTCCATGGTTCACCTGACGGCAAGGGGACCCATGATCCGTCCACCACTGAGAATATTTTGCTTCAGGATCAGTGCTAATCGGCTGCGGAATCTGTATTTACCAGCCATCGTTGGGATTCGAACCCGGTTCACCTCAATGGACGGCGAACCTCTACAACCATTGCTGCTAGTAAGTTATAACAACACGCTTAAATAACACTGTGCGACAAATTTTAATATATTTTTTCTGTCCCTTGTATGGAATTTACGCGATACAATTGTCATGCCGAAATATGCATAGCATATTTCCTAACATTCAAAAACTAAATTATTGTTTTATAAAATCCTTTTCTCGATGAATAAAAATCCTTAATATAATTGGTAATCTTTTAATGCCACAACCTTGAATTGAGAGCAGAATAAAATTTTATTTTTAGAGATTATCATTACATCTGCCTAAAACCTTAGCATAGAAAGTTAAAACCGTTATATGGTTGCTAATATTTTTAAAATCATTAAAATTCGCTGTTATTTCTCACACTTCCTTTTCCGCCAGCGCGTTTGAACACGTAAGGCTAAAAAAAAAGGCTTGGCAGTGAATAAAATCAATTAATCGTAAATACAAGGATTCCTTAACTTTTCTTTGCGAAAACTATTCCAAAGTATGCACGGCACTCGTATTTTTTGATTTCTTGGTAGACCGAGGTGTCCTGCGGGGCTTAACCTTGAAGCGACACCCTCCGAGCCATTTTTCTAAGTTTATTTATTTGATAATGTATATTTATATTAAGAATGAATATTAATCTTTACTTAAGAGCTCTACAGATTTCAAAATTAAAGTATTTTTATTATTTATATTTGATATGATGATCAATGATGAGTATATGATGATCAATCTGTATGACTCTGAAATAAAATAATGAACAAATTGAAAATACGTCAATCAACATCCTCTACAACTAAAGGGAACTGCATGCAACTTCTTCAATAAACAGTAATTCCAACTAATAGTATTCCCAATGTTTCCATGACAACTATATGAAAAAAGTGCTTGATTCATTTGTCAAAAACAAAATGGTATATCAGGTACCGCTTTAACAGAAAAAAGGCGCCTATTTTTTGAATGAATTTTCAGATATTTTGCTTAATAATACATCCAGAATCTCTAAATTTCGGAAAAATAAGTAAAGTTTTCATCGTGAAAATGTTAACACTGTTACTAACATGTCATCAAAATGGTCACCAAGTTAATGAAGGCACCAATGTCAATGAAAATATATTTTCAGTGAAAAATGTACCAGAATCACATATTTTCAACTGAAGGACATTTTTCATCTTATACTATGATAATTTAAGCTGTTAGTCAAATAGCGTGCTAAAACACGTGGTAATGAACAATGGAGAGCAGAAAGTTATGATGTCATCGAGTGAAATGAAGTATCCTGACATGACATATCTCCATGAAGACTTTACAAGTCTTCATGGAGAAATACTAAGCCATGCTGACTCAGCATCGATCAAAAATTTCGAAAGTATAAAAAAAAATTTAAGTATATTAGTGAAACTATTAAACAATAAAGATAGTTATATCATTGAATTTCATATGCATATGTAATTTAATATACTTAATACGCTTACAGAATTACTTAATGTACTATATCTATGTTTTATTAAAATTTTTAATTTACATACGAAGAATTTAGATATAATGAACTTTGTTCGAGTTGTGAAACTTTCAATGAGCGTAATTTGGTACAAAGTAATACTTTTTGCTTCTAAAACTGATAAATTCTTTATTCAATTCCATTCCTTACTTTAAATATTTTTTGATAAAGCTTCTAATTTGTTCAAAATATTTTTTAAAAAAATTGCGGTTTTCAGTATTCTTCCCTCCTCCTTCAAAAATAATTAAACCTTATTGTTAAATTTGAAATATAATTTCAAGAAGAATACAATAATAATATCCACAATATTTGGAGCAATAAATTTCGATTGGAAATTATGTGTTCTACATGCTTGTGTTTATTTCATTTAACTCAATTATATATTGGCTGTTTGTGTCAGGTTTAAACTTAAAACTCTATTCTTAGCATAATAAATATCTGCAATATCCATTTCCTTAATTTGCTGTGAATTCAGAAACAAAATGTTTATTTTTGTCAGGAAATTGGTTCAATTGAATCTTTCCCAAGGTAGAAAATTGCCTTATTGCTTGGGAGGTTTAGCAAATTTTACTTTGAATGGAGGAGGATTTAAATTCTTTTGAGTCAGAAAATATACCTTTCGAAGGTAAACAATTAAATGATGCCTTTAGATTTTACATTTGACTTTAATTGTTTAAGCTAAAAATGCACCATTGAAATGCATCCTAACTCCCAACGCTCTTCAGTAAACAATAACTAGTAACAGAAATATAATTATAAGGTTAATTAATTCAATTGAAGAGGGTTTGGCAAATAAACGATAAAAATTTAAAAAAAAACATTTTCATATTGCTCAGAAAAGCGTTTTTAAATAAAGAAGCATCAGTTTTATATATTGGCAATAAAACATGTTTTGTACTAGTTGTAATTTCCAAACAACGTGAAATAACTATCTGGGTACAATGCTGAGGAACAGTCATTATATTGTCCCAAGTTCTCCGATAATATCCTTAGATACTTACTAGCATTGCCATTCATTGGGTTGATCGGAATAGAAGAGATGAAACTTGTTCACTTTATCTGCTGAGCATTTCTCCAAGATTTCTCGAGTACCAAGAAAATTGTCGTAGCAGCTGCCATATTTAATAACTCCTAAAAAAGATAGAAAGAAAGATTTACTGCAGTAATAAAAAAAAACTTTGAAACACAGGGTATTTTAAAGCTAATGAAAAAAATTCCCACAACAACCCATTGTGAACATTGAGGTCATGACTCCACGATTTTGCAATAGTGACTATCAGGTCTGAAATAGCTTCTAATGCCACATTTAAGACAAACAAATACTGATCAATCTGAAGGTAGGGAACGGACACCAGTCCAACACTATGACAACTCATTGCCTTTAGCTATACTGAAACTCTTACGCGGTGAGACATATAATCTAAGTCCATCACAGAGAAAAAAAATATTATTTCTTTTCTGTTAATTTTTGTTTTGTTTCTTTAGCTTTTTTTTCTGCGGGGGGTTTCTGATTTTAGGTTTTTTTTAATTATCAGGAACTAGGGTTAAAAACAGACATTTACTTTTTTGAAAATTCATTTTTGACAACGAAAACTTTTTTACCTTGTTAAAATATCATGTTAGTAGAATAAATAAATTTTTCCACACATAAAAAGCATGTTTTTCAACTTCTGATATTTTTTTTTCGATACTTCGTTTGACTCAAAATATTTGGTCACTTTTGACAGTAATAAAATTGCGTTTTTAAAGACAATAAAAAAAAACTTTACAGCGCATATTTATAAGCAGAAAATATTGAAAATAATGAAAATTTAAAAATATATTTCCATGCGTTTGACTCGAGTATTTCAATTGTGACGGTGAATCTTATATGTATTTAGAAACAGAGAGGTATAGAGTTTTTACAAAAATATTTGTTGTATTATTCTTTTACAAAAATATTTGATTTTGAAGGTAATAGAAAGTAATAGCTTTAAAAGTTAATCTAGGAGGGAGGAAGAAATACACATTTTTTTCAATAATGCAAAATTGCAACCCTTCCTTGCAAAAAAATGAAGAAAACTTTAATATTTTCGTAAACAAAAATGCTTTTCTCATGTTCGTTGATCGATTGATTCAATTCCTAACTTTTTGAAAGGCGAATTCCAGATTGAAAAATTTTTAAAAAAAACTTGTAATCAGAATTCAATCCAATGTTATCCAATATACATGGTAAATTTTGATTCTCGTTCAGCAGTTTAAATGGAAAACTTGATTTCAGAAAAATATTCTTAAGGGACTAAAGAGATTGGAGCCTATTTTTGTTTATGCTATAAATTAAAGAAATGGAATTAATTTTTAAATATATACAACTAAAGTAACATTACTTGGGAGTTTAACTTATAATACATGATAACTAAATTTTCAATTTCTTGCACGGTTTATTAAAATGTATATAGTATTTTATCCATTTTCTGTAAAAAAAAAATGATTTCCAATCCAAATTGTTTCTAAAGTTGAAACTTTAGAATTTAAAGTAAAAATTCATTCATTCATTCATTCATACATTCATACTACATACATACATTCATTCATACATACATTCATACATACATACATTCATTCATTCATACATACATACATTCATACATGCATTCATACATACATACATTCATACACACATACATTCATACACTCATACATACATACATACATACATACATGCACACACGCACGCACACACACATACATACATACATACCACTGTGTGAAACTTTCATTCAAGATAGTCAAGTCACGTATTTGTATTAAAGTGAGTCTCACTATTTTAAAGCCAACGCGATTTTGTTCTATACTTGGGATTTTTTGTGACATTGGTAAGATAAATTTATGCCGATGATACTAAAAAGTCATTTATGTACTTATTGAAATATAGTTTTTTGAAATTTATATTTTTAAAAAGAAAAATCACCTTTGAACCAGGCAGAATCTTTCGAGCAAAATGTATTGCTCGTTTTTAGTAAGGAATGGGCGAATTCCAAAGATTGTCCAGCAACTCGCAAAGACGATTCATCAGCCTTAGGACATACTTCTTTATAATTAATTACGCATTCAGCAAATGTTCTTAATTTTCTAAAATGAAAAGGCAAAGATTTATAATTTATTAATTATATCTAGTAAATTTTAAAGACGGTTCAGTAAGTGAAGTAGTGATCCGGATCACAAATGCTCTTTCAGTCTACTACCGGATCACTACAACTGGATCACTTCTGCTGGATCACTATTTATGGATTACTACTAAAGAATTACTTTTGATGGATTACTAGAAAAGAATCACCTCTGGCATGTACAGTAGTGGTCTGTTGGAAAACGAAAGAAAAACGCTGTCAAAACTTATGTCCTTGCTGTGTATACTTTTTTGACAGATTTCATTTTGTTAGCGAATGCATCAAATGAGTCCAAAAAACACTATACAGGTAAGTACAAAATTTTGATCAAATGGATCACTACTGATATATCACAACCAACGAATTACTATTAAGGAATCACCACTGCCTTGTGCAGTAGTGGTGTGTTAGAAAAAGAAAAAAGAAACGCAGTCAAAACTTACGTCCTTGATGTGTTTACTTTTTTGACACATTTCATTTTGCTAGCGAATGCATCAAATGAGTTCAAAAAACACTATACAGGTAAGTACAAAATTTTGATCAACTGGATCACTACTGACGAATTACTATTAAGGAATCACCACTGCCTTGTGCAGTAGTGGTGTGTTAGAAAAAGAAAAAAAAAAACGCAGTCAAAACTTACGTCCTTGATGTGTATACTTTTTAGACACATTTCATTTTGCTAGCGAATGCATCAAATGAGTCCAAAACACACTATACAGGTAAGTACAAAATTTTGATCAAATGGATCACTACTGATATATCACAACCAACGAATTACTATTAAGGAATCACCACTGCCTTGTGCAGTAGTGGTGTGTTAGAAAAAGAAGAAAAAAAACGCAGTCAAAACTTACGTCCTTGATGTGTATATTCTTTTTGACATATTTCATTTTGTTAGCGAATGTATCAAATGAGCCCAAAAAAACTATAAAGGTAAATAGAAAGATTTGCTCAACTTAATATGAGTGAAAATAAAAAAAACTTACATTCTTCGAAATACAAGAAAATTTGTAATCATTAGTATGTATTTATGAAATCCTTGTCGAAAATGAAATAAACGATTACACAAATTAATCATCATGAATCAATGTTAAAACTAAGAACATTTTAAAATATCTAGCGAATTTTAAACTAGAAGTGCGTGATAAAAAAATTTAAAACCTGTTTATTAGATGAAAAAAATAGAGGCTGTCAAAGGCGACTATTAGAAAAACACCTTTTATTTAGGTCTTAAATCTCGAATGCCCCAAAAGTTATTCGTCATATACTGATATTAATTTCCTTATTTTCTTGTTAAATTATGAGCTTGGAGCCTCTGAATCGCTTACTTGTTTGAGATTTTAAAGATATATATATTTACAGCGGTTATTACTAACCCCTAATATAATTCAAAATTAAAGCAAATTAACTAAAATTGTTGATAAAAAAAGTATTTTGGATTTTTTTTATATCCCTTACAGGCAAAGTGATTCCATCTCGCTGTTATTTTTTGGAAATTTCAAATCTTGAATTGGATTTCCACAAACATCGACCACGTTTTCCGCACAAGTATCTTCTCCTTTACCCAGGCAAACTAAAAGAAAGTTCAAAGAAAAAATAAATAACCCAAAAGAGTAGAAATTAGAACGAAGAAAAATAAGTTTGTTTGAAATGAATTTCACTTTTTAGAATACAGCTCAAGAAAAGTAAAAGTAGCGTCGAAAAATGGATATGCTTATACAAAAAAAGTACGATTTTATTTTTGATTTCCTTATTTAAACTATCGACTACACTAATTGAATAGCTTATTTGAGATCCCTCCTATAAACCGTTAAAATTGATTATATTGAATAGATTAACCCTTTACTTACGTCTGGTACAATAAGTGAACCAGATTGGCTTCATCATGCTGAACGCCGTAAGCAAAGGGTTAAAAATTAATCAGGGGGAACCGTACTATACATTTAAAATGTACATCTAAAATATACATCTAAACCTAATATCTACCAGGATTTAAGTTATAGTACAATTGGCGAAAGTTTCACTTATTTCGAAGTTCAGTTTTCTACGAACTGCAAATATTTGTGGAACCTGGTAAGTTTATTTCTATAAATACTGAATTTACTTGATTAAAGCGTATTTGTAAATTTTTTATTAGATAATCATGTCGATTTTTGTCATTTTAAAACATTAATTTTCTAAAAATGATTGAAAGATTTGTAGAAAAACAATTCAAGCATATTTATGAAATATATTAATTTTACGAAAATGAATTAAATACGTGACTGCCAAAATATTTAATGAAATAATCACGACGATTTTTTTTCTTTTAAAGTATTAAACTTCTCTAAAAAAGAGTGTCAAATATTTTTAGGGGAACAACACATGCTTAGTCATGAAATAAATCTTTTACTCGCTAACATTCAGCAAAAAAGATATTTTAAAAGAATGGCTAATATAATATTTTAATCATATGATCAAGAATATTTATTTCATTTTGTACCCTTAAGTTTCTAAGGAAAGGGTGTCAAATATCTTTAGAAGAACATTTAAACATGTAATAAAATATGCTTTTGTTTATTCATACAATAAAATATACTTTTACTTATTCATGTAAGAAAATATACTTCTACTTATTCATGTAATGAAATATTCTTTCACTTATTAATGTACTGAAATATACTTTTAATTATTCATCTTATAAAATATACTTTTACTTATTGATGTAATAAAATACACTTTTACTTATTCATGTAATAAAATATATATTACTCACTAATGATTAGCAATAGAATAAGACTTTGAGTCCACATATTTACAATAAGAGAAAAATATATCTTTTGCAACTATCATACTTTTAGGTGAACTGGTGTTGTGAGCGACGAGTTATTTGACAAGATAGTGGAAATTGAGTTACTCAAGGTTATTAATGACACAATAGGCTAAGTGTAATTCAATCATTCACCAATAAAAATAATCAAACTTCGTTTTTTTTTCCTCTTTTCAAAATAAATTTGAAGATATTATTTTTATTTTCAATCATCGCGTCCATTTTTTTTATTTATCTAGCTTGTTTGTAATGTGCGGTGAATTATGTAACATTTATATCACGTAAAAGCTGAGTTCTGAGCATTACCAAAGCTGTGGCTGAGGCCATCCGCTTAAAATATGTTTTAATGGTTTTACCAAATAACGCTTTTTATCGCCAAATTTTGGCGACTTATTTAAAAAAAATAAATCATGTTGGAATTAGCATAAGACACATTAACTATCAATATTTAATAGCTTATACTTATCTCGATTCACAAAAGGCTTTACTTTTCATTAGTCTTTTAGATGAACGAAGAATAAATTTAGAAATAAAACATCTCTATCCGTAATTTAGAATAACTACCATCACTATCCGTAGCATAGCCATCCATAATAGAAAGAATAAAAATTTATCAATATGAAGCTAATAATTTTAAACCGCAAGAATAAAAGTTTTACTTAAGAACGTATACCGACAATCACTTACCGTACCAAAAACAATATTAATGAAAATCATTCCTTTACCGTCCGCAACGAGCCATTTGTGGAAGAAAAGAAAGTTTTAAAGGAAAATTTTTCAGTAAAATCAAATTGATGGTGAAATTTTCCGTAGTTTTTAAATTAGTAAACCATTTTATTGAATCTAGAATAAATTGAAAGATAGAAAATTGAAGAGGGCAAGTGAAAAAAGAAGATATTTTTTAAAAGGGTTACAACAAAAATATTCGTAATTAAGGCAAGCTAATAAGCGGGTCAAACTGGTTTTTATTTTCATTTTCACCAACGCGGAGTCTATAGAACTTTTTTTTTTAAATCTAAATCCATGTCATGAATTTATGATGTAAGCTTATGAAATTCATAATTAATATTATTCTTATGAATAGAATCTGCATAAATTTGTTGCCCCTTTTAAAAAAAAAAAGATTATGAGCATTATTGATCATTATATTATTGATCAGTAAAAATATAACTTTCGCTATTGTATTGCATCGTATCATCAAGCATTTATTGAAAAATATATTATGAAAACAAAGCATTAATAGAGCAAGGTATTATCGTTTATTTTCACTTTTTTTAATAAGGATGACACTTAATTATGAATAATCGACATAAATTAAAGTATCTCTCAAATTTACAACGTTAAGCAATTACGTCACGTTTAGGAATCAAACTTGTGAAATTAACTTTGCAAGTAAGCATTGTTGTTATTATCATTATTGTTTTCATCCAGAAAATAAATTTTAACGGCTAGAGTTTTCAGCATCATGATAAAGATCAAAATTTGAAAATTTTCAAATTTTGCCCTCATGCCAAATTTTATAGAAATGCCCTTATGCCAAATTTCCTACGCTGTATATTCGCAATTGGGTCTTTGCCCTTCAAGAAGAAGATCACACTACCCACACATGTGTCATGTGACTTTAGTGCCAGCTGATTGTTTATAAGCAAAATGACTGATTGAAGTTGAGCTAAGTATCTCCACATAAGTTAGAATGTTAATTAACGTGAAGTTGATTAAATACAGCTCCGTATCACGCATGGAATTCGTTGAAATGTAATTTTTTCTCGTCTACGTCTTTTATTTAACTTATATTTATTATTTGTTTATGCATTTTATTGTAGCCGTTCTATACTTTTGTTTTGCGTACGTGGCAACTTTGATACATAAATAGTTCGCATATGTTCAACCTGTCTTTGTGTGAAGTAAGAAATATATAATGAAAGAATTGAAATCCTCGTGAAAGAATATAAAATGCTTCATCTAAGAGAACTGATACTTTAAACGCTTGGCTTACTCGAAATAGAATGTAAAGAACAGTTACTAACGTAAACAAAAGCCACGTTTCAGCAACTAATCAAGATTAAGGTACCCACATTACGTCACTTGCAGGTATACCATTAAATGCACGTATTCCAATAAAAAGAGTAACCAGTTTATCTGTTTATATATTATCAGAAAAAATTCTGTGAGTTTTAATTTTAGTCTTTTTGCATCATTTGAGATATCGGTGTGGCAAATTTTATTAAATTAGAAATAAAAATTAAAAAGTTACACTAAGAAATTAAATGAAACTGAATGAAGGACAAGAAGGCAAACATTAGAATAATGAGAAAATAAATTATAATGACGCAATAAAACAGAAACTATTGCTTCAGTACATTAATTATTATTGTACAGTATTTAAAGTGCAGTTATAAGATTTTGAACAAAACAATATTTTTATTATTTTGAAGGGAATTTTCTCCATCTTAAACTACTTCAGATTCGTTATCAAGACGATTAGTTAAATCCTCAAGTGAACATTGTGGTTCCAAACTGAAATCTAATTCATTCATAAAAAACGCAGCTTCCTTTGGAAAATCTCTACACATGGTGTACTTCAATTTGTTGATTTTTAAGGCTTGCAACATTAATTCTTTTGCTGTCTCTCCGCAATCTTCTGATATTACATCAGTTAGGCACTTTACCAATAAGAGATGATAACTAAAAAATAAATAGACGTACAAAATAATGCTCTATTTTGAAACTAGCAATAGAATTTCATCATAAATAGATAAGTAAAATAAAGCACACATAATGACACATTAGCGGACATACTATGTAGTTGATAACATACATTTTAAAGTTCCGGTACTATAAACACGAACTTTTCTCAGTGTCGAACACAAAATGGCAAATATCTATTTCGTACAATAATAGAAGTTGACTCACCGCATAATAGACATTGATTCATAAGATAAAAGACATTGGCTTATTCTGTGATGCGACACAGAGGAAGGTTAACGAAACTGTAGTACGTCTGATTTTATGCGTCTGTTAGGGCTTTATCCGTATTAATTAGATATATCCATGTGTAGTAATATACTAATTCATTATACTCTAATCCAATCTCTATATACCCTAATTATCCTAATTTCATATGCAAAAATAAATGTTATGCCACAATATGCGAGTGTGACTATTCTGTATTTAATATACCAGAAGAAGTTGGTTTATTCTTTGTTCTGACTTGGAGAAGGATCCTGTTTATAGAAATGAAATTATAGTATTTCTGATTTTGTGCTCCGATTTGAGCTTTTTTTGTGTCACTTAGGTATATTCATGTGTTGCAATATCCTAATTCGTTGTATTCTAATTCAATACATACCCTAATTATCCTAATTTCATTTGCAAAAGTTAATCAGAATATGCGAGAATGACTGCTCTGTGCCTCGTATGATAATAGATTGTGGTTATTTTTCTTTCTAACTCTAAGGAAGGTTCTTGTTAATAGAAGCGAAATTATAGTATGCCTGCATTCGTGCCTCCATTTCAGGTTTATTAACGCAATTTAGACATATTTACTTGGTTCAGAAAGCTAATAAGAATTGCATTTGAAAAAATTTATGTTTCTCCAAAATAACTATTCTGTTTTGGTAATAATATACATGGGCTCATAAAACCATAGACATTGTCTCATTCTGTATTCCGATGATGAGGTAGAATCTTGCTAACGAAATAAAACTAAAGTATCTCTGTTTTATGTGCCACTATTTAAGCGTCCTTCTCGCGTAGCACGAATTATGCCCTAATTTCATTTTAACAAATTAAAGAAGCAGTGAATGATCATTCTGTATTATTTCATAAAATAATGAAAGTTATCTTATTATTTCACAGGTGTTGACTCAATCAATGTTCCAACTTTTAAAAAGGCTTTTGATTATAGAAACGAAGTTGGTCGAGATAGACTAGTTGGTAGGACGTTGGGCTTGTGCTCATGAGAATAGGAGTTTGAATCCTACCTTCCGAGTAAGCCCCGCGTATTAAATGGTGACTGGTGTAAGTTAAATCTGTTGGGGTCTCAAATCCTCTAAGTTCCCATACCAAATCAATACCACTGGGGGTACTGAAATGGAGATTGGTCGTTCTCTGGTTCAGGTCACTTTTACGATCTGTGGATGAATGAATGGAATATGATAAGAAAAGTAACACAAACTGTGAATTGTGTGGCTTAGGTCGTATTCTTTAACATAGATGGGCCCACTGAAAGAGCAAAAAATGCCCCCTCTGTCTTACACATTTCGATTGATTTCAAGCAGGCTTGCTGGTTGGAAAATAGCAAAAGTAACAACAACTACAACAGAGACAAAACTATAGTATGCCCGTTTTGTCCCATTAATTAGGCTTTATTCACGCTGATCAGCTTTTTTCACACGTTGCACAGAGTATACCTTAATTCCATTCTCCTAAATTAGTGCTAAACCAGAATGTCACAGAAAGAGGCAAAATGAGTATTCTGTGTTTGCTATAGCAATAGTCGTTGTCTCATTCTGAGTTCCTACACTGAGGAAAGATTATTATAATGTCAAAACCATAACATGCGTGTGTTTGTGCTATTATTGCTTTATCAACGTGATTTATTCGCGCGTAGTCCAAAGTATACTTTAATTTCAATAGCATAAAATTAATGTTATTACCTTGTTACATTATATTTTTTTAAAGATGAGTATATACTTACAAACAGGACCTAATATTATAATCTTCCGGATATCGCTGATGGTATTCCAGTTCATACTTCTCTGGGTGTTTATTTTTTATTTCATCAAAGCAATTATTAACTCTATTTCCAGCATCTTTTTCATAATTTTGATAACATTTATTGAAACATTTTCCCTTATCTGACAATGCTGCAACATTAAAATATCAAATTACAAAATTTGTTTTCAAACGCATGCAAAGCATTCATGAGGATAAATTATATTCTTTATATCCATGTAAA